CTATCTATCTATTAATTATTCTAATTATAGTAATTAATAAGTAATCTATTAATCACTTTATAGGTTATATAACCTTATATCCTATTCTAGATACTAGTGTGTCTAACTTAGCCTGACTCACTTAGCCCCACCTGTACATCCTATACGTTTACAACACTTAAAGGGGGGACCTAGACTCCTAAACGGCTAATACACTCCTAGTCTAGCACCTAAGATAGTAGGTAATGTGTATCTTTTAGAAACGTATAATACTCTAGCCTATAATAGGGGCAGTGTTTTATTATTACCTTTATAGCTTTAGTATAAACTAGTTTAGTAGACTAATAATAATCCGACTATATACCTAACACGTCCGTGTTAGTAGTAACACCTAAAAGGGCGAAAATAATGTCTCTTAGGTCTAAAGCTGTATAAAATAGTCTTTTATAGTCTACTCCCCTTATCTCTAATAATAGAAGCTCTAAAAGGCTAAAAGGTTGTCCCTAATAAAGCTATAGACGAGAAAGAAGACACTAGATATAGAAGCGGTTATTATTTAGACCTAACCCGAAGTTATTCCACTATAGCTACCAACAAGCAAAACCACTAATCTTAGTGAAGTATATAGTGGTTAGAGTAGTGTAGAAGCTATTAAGATTAATACTCTACTCCCTATAAATAACTTTACTACTCTTAGCTAAGGCAATCTCTTATATAACCTAGTATAATAGTAGCTTAATCCTAATCTATAGTTAGTTTATTTCTTAGGTAGAGAGTTAGTTTAAATTTATAAAGTACTAATAAGTAGTTATTATAGTATAAGTTATATTAGAAGATATCTCCTAATAGTAGAACTATTACTTAGATTAAGTAGTAGAGATTTAGTCTAACTATCTATTAGAAATCCCTTTCCTTATATATTTATCCTATTATCTACTATTTTTCTAGGATCACTCTAGATCACTAGTAATCCCTACAATCCTAATGCCTATAGGATTACTACTAGCTTACTATAATCCTTAGTGATCTAGTCACATGACCTTATATCCTAATTAGGCGACTTATAGGTTCCACCTAGTCGCTTCCTTAGGCCGCCTCCTGACTGCCTTGCGTACATTCTTGATTCATAACACCTAGGCGTAGTACTAGATTAGGCGGTCCAGTAGGCATACTATAGTATTAAGCACTCGTGTGTCCTAGAGATCTTTATAGTCTAGAACCTTTAGGAGGAATAGAAGTGCCAGGTGTTCTTCTAGGTCATCTGGAAATATAAGCTTACAGTGGCCTCTGTAAGAGAAACTAGCCTATACCTTAAGAGCACTAGCCTCCCTTACGTTATAGCCGAGGTAATTACTAAGGGCGAGAAAAAGTGCGCTTTTATCGTAGCTATCTCTAAGAGAAACGTAGACTGATTCTACTCTTTAGAAAATATCTCGCATCTGCCCCACCTGCTAGCTTCTCTCTTTAAGATCACTTTAGTTAATACAGATAGCGTTAATCTAGAACCACACATTTCTAGGCGCTATATAAGACAACTAGGATAAGGCGAAGTGAAGAGTCTCCACTATCTCGAACTATTAACTGTTAAGGATAATTAAGAATCTTAGCGTAGGATCTCCCTAAACATAAGAGAGAGCATAATATGACGGCGCCTCGTTTACTCGGACTAAGGCTAACTGTAACTGGAGGCGGCCGTTGCCTTATAATGCATTAGGCGTGGTTATGAACCGTACGAGTCGAATGTCTTAATAATCCGGTTAAAGTCTTCTATAGACAAACATTTTAAATGACAGGTAAATTTACGGCCAGGCACGTAGATATTATTATTGACTGCTCTACTCTTAGTGCTAGGTGATATCTTATTAATAGGAGAGGAGTAACAGTCGCGATGGGGCGGGGACACAAGGCTTTAAGCATTATGGCTTTAGCTAATGGCCACTCAGTGGTTCGCACGTTAGCCGGCCTAATAAGCTAAATAGTGGTGCGCTATGCATAGAGACTCTAAAAGCCGTTATACTAGGCTAGCGCTACTAAGCAGAAGTTAGGTTTAAGAAACTTTAATAGAGTAAGAATTCTTTTATTAGTATTCCTTATAGTTAAGATTTAAGTAGTAAGTATATTAATCTACTATCTTATCTATACTATAGTCTAACTAGGGTTAGTTATTATATTACTAGTAGTAGATATTATAAAGGTTAACTATTTATAATTTTAAAGTAACTTACTAAATAAGACTAATTAAAATATAATAGTAACTTAATTTTAATCTATAGTTAGTCTATTTTTTAAGTAAAGAGTTAGTTAAATATATAGAGTGTATATAAGTAGTTATTATAGTATAAGTTATATTAGGAGATATCTCCTAATAGTAGAACTATTATTTAGATTAATTAGTAGAGATCTAGTCTAGCTATCTACTAGAATCCCCTTCTTTATATATTTATCCTATCCTCTACTATAATATCTAGATAGTTAGATTATTTATCTATTTATTAATTATTCTAATTATAGTAATTAATAAATAATCTATTAATTACTTTATAAGTTATATAACTTTATATTCTATTCTAGATACTAGTGTGTCTAACTTAGTTTAACTTATCTAGCCCTACTTATATATCCTATATATTTATAATACTAGATTAGTACTAGATTACTATAATCCTTTATAATCTAATTATATAATTAGTCTCTTTATTTTTATACTCTTATAAGTACTCTAAGGGTTACTTTATTAGACTACTCTACCCCTTATCTATAGTACCTTAGTGTATTTTTATAATACTATAGTAGTAATAAAGGTTTTCTTAGAAAGACTCTAGTTTTTCTTTTATTATTATTAAGGACTGGCCCTACAGCTGCTACGAGTAGGCGTTAATATAAGGTTAAATTGAATCTCTTATAGAGGGAAGAGACAGGGAGGTTATAACGAAGTGGCCACTATACATAAGGAGGAGTCCCCCCTATTAGGTCCGTGCCTTAGGCCACTAGACTATTAATCTAGCTAGGCTGTGGCCTAAGCTCTTATAATTATTAATATTATAGAAGTACTAAATAGATAGAGTAGTCTAATTAGTATAATATAATTAAATTATATTAATATTATTAATAATATTCGCTTTTTTTAATAATATAATTAAAAACAAATATATTTTTTTAAAAAGTATTTTATTTTAGTTAAAAGTCCTTTTATAGATTATTATAAAAATAATAACCTTTTTATTTTTATTAACTTTAGTCTATTATTAAATTATTTAGTCTTACTTTAAAAGAGATTTAGGTTTTAGAAATTATACTACTTAGTAATGTTTTCTCCTAATCACATTATACTAGGTGATAATACTATAGGCGTCTTAGGTTGTCTATTAGGCCCTTAATAAAAGTACAGACAACATCCCTAGCCAGAGCGATAGATTCCGGGTCATATGCCTGGGGCAGGTGGGCAAACGTGACGTGCCCCTGTTTCTCCCTGTAGGCGTCGTTCAGGAGGGCCTCAGCAAGGGAAGAGTAGAGGCGAAACTCGCAAAAGTAGAGGCCGGCGTCGTTGGAGACGCACGAGACGATGTCCTGATGCTGTTAGTAGGAGAAGGTATTTTCACAGGGAAACAGAAGGAAAGAGAGAGAGAGAGAGGAGAAGTACCGGAAAAGAAGCCCGGACTTGGGCGACGCCGGCCTCGACGGGGAGGGACGTGGCGAGCACTTCGGGCAGGCCGAGGGCGGCGAGGGCGTTCGAGTCGACGAGCCGGCCGTCGTCGCCGGGGAGGTTGTACCCGCCGCGTCGGGCCGACGTCTCGAAGCGGAACTGGGCGTCATCCCAGCCGAGGGCAATCATGCCGAGGTGGACGATGAGATGGACATCGACATGCTCTGCTGCTGCTGCTGCGGTGTCGTCTAGGGTTGTTTCAGCCGCAGCTGGAGATGTAGTGGTGGCTTCCTGCTGCTGGAAAAAGGACGCCTTTCCGCTCCAAATGTCCTTCGAGACCTGCCGGACGTCGGCGTAGTTGTCGCGCGTGTCGCGGTGATACTTGAGGATGCGGACGGTGGTTGTCGAGGTCGAGTCGTCGTCGGCGCTGTTCAGATGCAGGGTGGGGGGAAGGGCGTCGCGGACGAGGGCCGAGGTGTTGAAGTCGTATTCCAGAAACGGCTATAGGTTGTTAGGATCTTTCTGCCCTTTTTTCTACCTTTTTTTATGACTGCTGGTTGCTAGGGAGTGCTTACGGTGTTGCCCGTTACAGCCACATTGATTGTCGTTGGCAAATACATCCTTTCCTTTTAGGCTGGCTGGCTTGTTTCGTTAGTGTGTTGATTGTGGCCAAAAAAAAGATAAAATAGCAGAACCAGACTGATGCTTTTATTCACTTTTCGGACACAGTCACATACTCTATTTCAAAGGAGATAAAGAAGCAAATAAAACCATAAGAAAACAGTGCAGCCGCCCGGCTGGGCTGGGAGAGTGAAAATGCCTTGTTGCTTCCCCGCCGCCCAACTGTGCCACGTAAAACCGGTGGGTGTTGAGGGGACAAGACAAACAGAACAAAAATTTGAAGAACAAAAAAACTGCCTTGCCTTTGAAGAAAGGAAAAGGATTCTGTCTGAGTGGGTGGACGCGGGGAAGGGTGGGCAAGGAGCAAGCCACCATGTCTTAAGCGGCTTTATTAATGGTCGAAAAAAATGGCTTGTCTGGATCGACACCAAGCAAAGACACATGCTGTCCGTATATGCCGGTTAGTGATTTCTCTTCTCGAGCGTTATGCAAAGGATTATTTTCTTCCCCTCCTCGTCTTCAGCTCAAACGACTGCATGGTCATCATCTGATGTCGTGGCCGTCTGTGTCCTGTCTGTATCTATTCATGTACAACACCAGCCTAGTCTATAAATGCCGTCTATCCATGTACTGTTTTATGGAGTATTCGTTCACAGTTCATCTCATCTTAGATAGTAGAGAAATCACTTTTTTGCCCCCCTTTTTTTTTAAAGAAAGAAAAAAACAGAAAACATTCCTCTCTTGAAAAAGATCGGCAATGCCTCCCCAGCCTCACGAGACGCACAAGGACCAAAAGGCCCGCGAGCTGGCCGAGAAGCGGGAGCGCGATCAGGCCACCCCGGCCGACAAGCGCGCCGAGCGCTGGCGCCAGTTGCCCGAGTTTAAGGGCATGAAGGACGAGGCCGAGGGTTAGGGTTATTGACGAAAGTAAATGCCGACGCGACGCCTGGTGGCAAGCCGCTACCTAACCAACTCCCATTCTCCGACACTTGCTGGTCAAGAACAACAACCTGGAGAAGCGACTTTGTGGCGTGTACCAACAGCAACAGCAAGTATCGCGAGTCAAGCGTTCCATTTGCCAGACAGCACAATCGCATCTGTCATCACCATGAGCTTCGAGACAACCTGGGACGAGGCCGTCAAGGCCACCGCCGATATTCTCGGCGAGGACGACTTTGAAGAGGTGCAACGGTTCCGGAGCGCCGAGCAGCTGCTGCGCGAGGTGCAGACGCTCCAGCGGAGCTGTCTGCGCAGCACGATTGCGCGCATGCTGGCAAACATGAGGCCTAAAATTGAGCACCTCCAGACCTTTGCCACGTTTCTAGTCCTCGCGACGGGGTCGAGCTCCATCAGCCTGGCCTGTCTGTGGGGGGTTATCTATCTGCTCGTCGAGGTACGCCGTTCCTGGGCTCTGTGGAAGAAAAGAAAGAGAAAAAGAGATATACATAAAAATATCGTATTCAAGAATAAAGAGCCAAACCCTGACTTATGACCTTCCACCACGTACCCAGCTCGGTAGCAAATCCGACGACGCCCTGCGAGAAGTCACAAAGTACTTCAACGACCTTGCCGAGCACATTGAGCTCTTCGAAGCCTACCGGGCCTCCGTCAACGTGGACCCAGAGCTGCTTGAGCGCTTCTTTGGCCTGCTCGTCGACCTCGTCCTCGCCGGCGCCGGCGCTATCAAGCACTTTCGCAAGCACGACGTCAACCGCGGCAGCGCCCTCAGCCTGCCCTCCTGGCGCGGCGTCGACCGCGACTTCGCCCAGAGTGTGCAGGGCTTCGCCGCCCGCATCAAGCACCTCAAGCGGCTCGTCAAGGCGCAGGAGATGCGCCTCTCGCAGGAGGCCATGCGGCAGTCACTGCAGAACTTCGACCTGCACCACCACGACGCTGAAGCCAAGATTCCGTACTACCAGCTGCCTTTTTATAGGAACCCTGCCTTTTTTGGGAGGACGGATACGCTGGAAAAGATTCGGCTGGCGCTGGAGCCGCCCGACGACAATGGTGGTGGCGGAGCCGGCGAGGCAGACGTCGTGTCGCTTCGCTCGCTCGCCATTTGGGGCACCGACGGCATCGGCAAGACGCAATTGGCGCTCGAGTACGCCAACCGGCAGATCCGGCGCGGCTGGCAGCTCGTACTCTGGATCCCGGCCCAGTCCGAGGGCAAGATGGCGACGGCGCTGGTGGCGGCCGCCGAGAGCGTGCAGCCGCCGGGTTACGCCGACGACCTCTCGGCCGACAAGAAGCGACTAGTCATGTGGAGCTGGCTGCAGACGATATGTAACTACAAAGTTCCCTTATCCGAAATGATTGAAGTAACATGAAGCTGACCGTGCTGACGCTGTGCACTGTACAGCCATCCCTGGCTCATCATCTTTGACAATGTCGATGACAATGCCCTCCTCGACCCCATCTGGCCCACCACCGGCGCCGGCCAGATCCTCATCACCTGTCGCAGCGAGCTCATTGCCTTGACGCCCGCCGCCAACGCACTCGAGATTGGCTCGTTTGGCCCCCGCGACGGAGGGGAGCTGCTGCTGCGGCTCGCGCGCAAGCACACACTCACCGCGGACGATATGTCCATCGCCGAAGAGCTCTCGACGATGCTGGGCGGGCTGGCGCTCGCCATTGAGATTACCGCCAGCCAGATCCTGACCCGAAAAAAGACTATGGCGCAGTTCCTGCCCTACTTCAAGGCCAACCGGCGTGCTCTCCGGGTGCCGCCGCGGTACGCGGCCAGAAACCCGTACTACAACGAGACGCTCCTCACGGTGTGGCGGACGGCGTTTGGGAGCTTGACCGAGAACAGCGCGTCGCTGCTCGGCCTGGTTTGCTTCTTTGCGCCGGACGATATTCCCCGGGACATGATTAGCACCGCGGTGCATATCCCTGGGACTTGGGAATTCTTGTCTGACACGGAGCAGTAGGTTACGCAAAAATGCACCTTTAATTGCCACAGTGACAGTTGTGGGCTAATCATGCACAAAAAAGGTACGAGGATGCTCAGGCACAGCTGCTGCTGCTGTCACTCATCAAAATCAACGAGGAAAAGGGCTACATCTCGCTACACCGCCTTGTCCAGGAAGCCTACTACGACTGCCTGGCCGAGGACGCGCGCCGGGACACCTTTGTCGTCGTCTACAAGCTCCTGGCCAAGGCGTTTCCCCGGCGCGCGATGCGCCGGCAGATGTACCTCGTCTGGCGCGAGTGCGACCTGCTCATGCCGCACATCGAGGCCGCCTTCGACAAGTACGGTGAGCTGCGCGGCAACGGCCTGAGCGTGCAGGACCCGGCCCTCGATACAATGATGGCGGACGCGACCTGGTACGTCGGAAGCGACACACACTTTTATCACCACCTTCAAGGAAAATGCAGGCCATCTCGATGTGCTCTTGATTGAGTGACGTGCGATAAAAAAAGGTACTGCAGCGAAATCTCTTCCCTCTCGCTCGGCGAAAAGCTGGGCGCCGCCGCCACAGACAACTGCGTCGACAAGACCTCCCTCGGCCATGCCAGCCTCTGCGAGAGCCTGGCCACGATCCACCACCGCCGCGGGCGGTACTGCGACGCTTACTCGCTATTCCTCTGCACCCTCGAGATCCGTCAGCGCGACCCCTCCACGACGGCGCCCGAGCTGGCCGACTCGTACAGCGCCGTTGGCCTCGCCCTTTTTGGCCTGTTCCGGAGCGAGGAGGCGATTGCTTACGTGGGAAAGGCGCTCGAGATTACGTACGGCGCGCCTCCGGGGGAGCGGCACACGTTCAACGTGGACCGCTACCTGCGGAACCGGAGCCGGCCGCTCGCTGCGCTGGGACGGCTCGCCGAGGCCAAGGCCGACGTGGCGGCGTGCGAGGCGTTCCAGGACCAAGTCTACGGCCCAGACAGCCACTTCCACGGCGAGTATGCTAAAAATTCCTCCCAAAGGTAGCAATTTTGGTTGATCAAAGACTAAGAAAGATAATTGTGATACAGAACCGCGTACATCCTCGGCAAGATTGCCGCCACGGAGGGCGACTTTGCCCTCGCGATGAGGCACCTCCAGCGCGCCTACGACCTCCAGTACCTGGGCAAGCCGACGCACCAGAGCGTCGCGTCGGCGCTCTACCACCAAGGCCTGGTGACTGTGCGCCAATCCGCCGCCGCCGCCGGACCCAACAATAGCAACGACGATGCCGCCGCCACCGCGTTGCACTACTTTCAGCGCGCCCTGGCCATTACACAATTCAACGAGCCGCGCCGCGGCGACCAGGGCGAATCGGCACGCGTCAAGTGGCAGATTGCCAAGATCCTGGACAAGACCGGCCGGGCCGAAGATGCGGCCAGCTACCGCGCCAGCTCGCTCAAGGTGAAGCGCGAGCTGGAGGAGACGGGCCTGCACCCAATGGCGCCGGACGAGGAGCAGGCGTGGGACTGCTTCTCGGATCTGGTGGATAGATAAGACTCTTGTTTCTTTTTTTGTATTCGCAAAGTGACTGGTCTGCTACAGCTAGCTATATCCCGTGATGGAGGAGAAGAAAAGAATGAGAGCTCATTTATCCACCCTGCTTTTGTTGGAGATAATACGCCAGAGTCGCATAATGAACCTGCAGCCAGCCAGAACCATGGAAACAATGGCAATTACCAGCCCAATGACGCTTAAGGAGATTACGGCCCAAATTGTATACCACAGGCGCATGTCTCGCCTGTCCCGCCACAGCGACAAGAACCCGTTGGGCTGAATGTCCTTAACGTAGTCTTGTATCCTGCGCAGCCGGTCCTTGAAAATGGGAAAGTCGGTCTGCGAGTCGAACGAGTCGCGCATCGACATCCCAAAGTGAAACACACCCGAGACGTTATAGCCGGCAAGCTCGTCGAGGGCCGCGTCGATGAGCGTCTCGCCGTCGGGCTGCACCATGGCCGCCCGGCTGCGCTCCGTCGTCTGGTAGATGGCGCGCGACCGCCGGTCGCCTCTGAACAGAAGCATGTAATAGAGGATAATCTCCCGGAGGAAGCCTCTGACGCTGAATGCCGTTCCAGCTTCGTCTTCCTGATGGAATTCGCGGAGCAGTGTTTTACCAGCTTGTTAGCATATCGCCGTGATCGGGGTTCCGGGCGACACTCACATGGACAGGATAGAGTCATCCGACTGCTGCATATAGCAAAACGATGGGAACCGAAAAATGCAGAGAGAGGGAACGGTGGGATCAAATGCCAAATGCTCCCCTAGCGAGTCCACCCAGATGATGCGCATGTCGGCCATTGCTTTCAAGGTGGACACGTTGAGATACGACACATCAAACTTGGTCACCGACTCTGGGACATGCACCTCGCCATCTGCTGCGCAGGGTGAGGAATCAATCCACCCACGTCCACGAGTGCTTGTCGTGGATGGAATTGACAGCTTACTCAGCAGCGCTGTCGTGGGTTGAGTCCACGAAGCCTTCTCGTGGGTTGATGGCCACAATATTGAGGACCCATGTCGTCTCCACATCGATTTCCTAATTGAGTAATTTTGAAGCTATCGTGAAACCCCCTTACCCCGCCTCATCCTCGAAACTCCTCCGTTGAGCAATCCTCCCCAAGCCCCATTGATACAGCCCTGTCCAGCAGTATATTGTCAACATCCTTGATTATTCCCGCGCGTAGCCACGAGCGTAAGGTTTGGATAAGTCCAATTGTTCCTGCATCCATCCTGTTCCGCAGCGGAGTAACCATTAGCCCTGCTGCCGAGAACAGCCTCTCGCACTCTGCGCTCATGGCCGGCACTGTCATCACATCAAGTGCCATTCGAGACAGCTTAGGATACTCGAATCTCTTCAGGTGCCAATACTCCACCGGGTCAGCCACATCTCTGTCCAGCTCCGACATGCTAGCTTGCCAGCGTGCGTATTCATCTGCTCCGGCAGTGGGTGCATTGCTTTGCCGGTGTCTATTACGGTACCTATCAAATGAGGACAGCACAGTCTTCTGCTTTTTTAGCGCTGGCCCATCGGCAGTGGATGCGACTGTGATTTGCAGGTTACTATATTCATTGCTCCAGAGCTGCTGCACAATCTGCTTCGCTTCTTCAACCCATTCCGGGTGGTGCCGGCCCCAAATCTCGTCAAAATAAGTCCATCGCAGCCCAGGATGCAAAGCAGCGGCAGCGTAGTAGACCGGCGTGTCTCTCAAGGTATTATAGTACTTGTCCAGCTTCATCCAGCCAAGATTGACGTTAATGCCAAAATGCTCCGGCTCGGGATGCGTCTCGATCTGCGACTTTGCGTCTTCCAGCTTGCTCAGAAGGAACTCAAATGCCTCTAGCACGTCAGTCATCGAACCGAAGGTCTCTCGTATGCCGGAGGCGCGACAACGCGGCTGCCCATCGCCCTGGAGCGCTTGTACAACCACGTGGAAGTCCGAGAGGATCTCGTCAAAAGTCCTGAGCACCGCCCAATCGTTCTCGGTGAGGAAGCTTGACTCCTCAAGACAAGGAGGAAACCTCCGGCCTACCTCTCCTCTCCGGCCATCTCGGAAGATTCTCTTTGCTTTAGCAATGAACTCTTCATAGAAAGGCTGCAGTCGCAACAGCCGCTTGATCATGTAGTATTGGGATAGCCATCTGGTATCGTTGTCAATAACCACGTCGACTGGCCGTTGCTTCCCAACTTCGGCGTCGTCAGCTGCCGCATACGAGTCTTGTTGGATTTGGCGAAGCAACTGCGTCAGAACATCCGACCGATGGACCCAAATGGCAAAGTTGTGAGCTTTGCCGACGGGGCCTCTCCGCATCCACGTGTCGTGCGCTGCCCTTGCCAGTGCTTCGCCCTTCGCGACGGTGTCCTCAAACGCCTCGACATCTTTTCCAAACAGAAGGGACTTGACGACGAGATTGAGAATGTGGCCAACGCATCGAACGCGCCGTCGCACCGGATCGAAGTGCAACTCTTGCGCGATCTCGCGCATCGCCGTGTCGTTGTTCGCTGCATTGTCGAGGGTGAAGTAACCCACTTTGTCCTCGATGCCGAAGGAGCGAATAATGTCAAGGATCTCAGCAGCGATATTCTCGCCGGAGTGTCGTTCCACCAGCTCCGGAATGCCCAGGACAAGCTTTCGGAGTTGGTTGTCCTCATCTCGGAAGACAGCCGTCACGCCGTATAATGCGTGACGGTTTCTGGTCCTCGCGCCATCGAAAGCGATATGTATCTGGCCCGGAGACCTCCTCAATGCATGCTGAACGGCATCGCGATGGCGCTCGAACTGCTGAATAGCCAAGCTCTGGATAGTCTTAGCAGTAACATGCGCATCCTTGATACGCACCGCAGGATTCAGGTATTCGAATATTTGTCGCAGACGTGGATGTTCGACCTGCCTGAATGACTGCTGGCTCTCTACTATCCAGTTCACCACCAGCTTCTGGAACTCGGCTTGATCGAATCGTCGGATTAGGTTGTTCGCCAGGGCCTGGTCGTTAGGCTCCAAACGTTTGAGGCCCATGAGGTCTGTGATCGATGCGAAGGCTTTCCTTCCCTCTTTCGTCTGCAGTGGCGTTCGTCGTCGTCCTGACGGATCCCAGTAGCCGTGAGACTTCCAGAGGTGGTGCTCGGCATTCTGTGTGCCTCTTGATTCGTATGACTGTGGTGATGATGCTTTTTGGCGCACGCACGGCATGCAGATCCATCGCCTGGACGCTTCTGATTGAATCTCAACGCCGTAGTCCCATATCCAAGACACCGTATCCTTGGTTCGTTCGGCTAGTGTGAAGCCCTTCCAGACGCGGAATATGCGCTGCTCCTCATCTGAGGATGGCGTCCAGGATGTCAAAGGAATTTTTCCCGCGTCTAGAAGGGCAAGCCTCGGGAGCAGTAAAGCATCGTGCGGGGTATCATCGCTAGCTGGTGTTTTAGGTTCGATGTTGGTAGTTACTGGCTCGGCCATGTTTCAGCTGCCAGTCGCCTCGTGTTGCAGGTGGCCTAAAATGGCGACGCGTCGCAGGACGCGACAAGGCGCGCCCGCCGTACTGTAGTGGGTGGATAGTGCCGACAACTAGTGTTACGTCGGCCCCAGCGAGCGACTTAGGTTGGCCTCTTACCCTGCAGCAGAGCTTCCGTTTCTCGCGATGCTGGACGACTGGTCAATCCATCCATATCGTCCATCAAAATGCGCAGCACCGTGGATTGGTTGATTATGTAACAATTCAAGTCGTGGGTTGACGTTGACGCGTGTTGAGGTCAATATATTGGTCAACCAGTGGATTTCGTGGATTGATTCCTCACCCTGCTGCTGCGTTTAGAGCGAGACCATTAACAGCAGGTAGAGGGACTAAATCTCCAAAGGCGCGCAGCAGCTCGTCCAGCGGCCTAGATACCATGTCTATCGCCACACTGGCATGCTTGCCGGTGCCGGTGCAGCGGCGGAGAATGCTTAGCTCTACCGCGCTCGCGAGATCAGCCGAGATGTATAGTGTCGACAACCAGCCGATGGTGCTAAAGACAAGATGATGCAGCAGCATCTTGTCCGTTATCTCAGTGTCATCCTTGATGATTCCCTTGCTATGAAGCCTGCTTTCTATTCGCGCAATTGATATACCGCCGTGATCTCGCACCACGCTTGCGACCTGGCAAGCAAAGCAGACGGCCTTGGCCGCCGGCTCGTCGGGCAGGAGAAACTGAGGCGTGAACACCGCGTCCCACTCGTCCACCCACTTGTCGGCAACAATGAGGCAGAGGTATCGCATAAAGGCCATCCATTCGGCGTGACCTTGGTGGTATCATCTCCCGTGCAGAGTTGGAGGAATAAAATTTCGTAGCTGCTCAAGCGTTGTTTGGGCCGAGGCGAGTTGAATGACAATATCCGCGTCCAGTACGAGCCCCTTTGACTACTGCCATTGTCCTGGCTGTCGGCCGAGTTTACTGGCCCGAGAGAGTGGAGCTGGATACCGTTTGCACTTGAACCCATAGTGTTTGCAGCGTTCTTTTCGAAACGACATCAGCCGACAAGATGAGCAACGGACCGGCTTCATATCTGACATGATCGGTTCATTTCAGTCTGAGCATCGTGTCGTGGGCGTGTCCCAGACTCTGCTGCCTGGCGCTGGCGCCGTGGCGTCGAGGCTGTTGTCATCAGCGCGGCGGTAATAGACAGATGACGACGGGAGGTCTGGACCGAGGCGAGATCCTTGTAACTAGCTGGCTCACAATGGTGGCTTGGAGGCAGCTCGATGCAGCTCAATGCATATTGCGGACAGCTGTATCGCGGAGAGGCAAGAGGGTGGTGCTGGGCGGGGTCCCCGTCAGCTCTCTTCAGCGCATAGGTAGGTATGCATCTCCTCCAGGCGGCTTGCATCATCGCTTGCCTGCCCAAGTAACTACACTGATCATAGGCAGTTGACGGTAAAAATAGAAAGGAACACGTCACATGCTTACACGTTTCTATTTTGGCCGCCACCTTGGGACTCGGCAATTCATTCGCACGCTGTCCAGCCATGGTTGTGGTAAGGAGGATAAAACAGCTCTCAGTGTTGGCCCCGTTGCCACGCGCCGTTTGTGCACTGCGCCCGCCATTCAGGTCAGGACCTGAGGCAACTGAGCCTCGACACATCTCTACCCTACAATCATACGGCGCAAACGACTTGAAACTTGAAGCCAAATTCGCTTCAACCATGGATATTCCACTTCTGGAACTTCGCGATGGGAACAAGATTCCACTGGTGCGTGACCAAAGAGCCTTGCCCGCTGCATTTCCATCATGCATGCGACGTGGTAACCAGATGTTTAGCTCGCTTTCGGCACCGGGACTGCGTGGTTTAAAGAGGTTGGCGACACCTCTTTTAACCACGAGCTCGTAGAGGTGACCAAGACGGCGATTAGAAAGGGATTTCACCATCTGGACTGCGCCGAAATGTACGGCACGGAGGAGGAAGTCGGTGCCGCCATCCAAGCCGCCGGCGTGCCGCGCGAGAGTCTCTTCATCACAAACAAGGTCGCCCCGGGCATCGACGACATTCCCGCTGCCGTCGAACGCAGCCTCGCAAAGATGAAGCTCGACTACTTTGACCTGTACGTGCTTGTTCTCTTCCACCCGCTGCACGACCGCCGACGTTGGCTGACAGGAAGCCTCATCTTAGATATCTGATCCACATCCCCTTCTTTGCAGAGTCAGACGACGACTTTGCGCGCGCCTGGACTTCCATGGAGGACATCAAGAAATCAGGCAAGACGCGGTCCATTGGCGTGAGCAACTACCTCCGTCCGCACCTCGAGGCGACGCTGCGGACCGCGTCCGACCCGCCGGTTCTGAACCAGATCGAGTACCACCCGTACCTGCAGCGCGCGGGCGCCTACGTGCCCTGGCTGCGCGAGCGGCACGGCATCCAAGTTGGCTCGTTCAAGGGCCTCACGCCGGCGGTGCGCTGCCCCGATGGCCCGCTGCGCGAGCCGCTGGCCCGGATGGCGCGGGAGAAGGGAATAACCGAGCCTGTCGTGCTGCTGGCCTGGCTGATGCAGAGCGGTATTGTGGCAGTCACGACGACGAGGAAGCCGGGGCGGTTGGACGAGTATGCGCAGGTGCTGCAGGTTACGCTGACAGAGGCGGAAATGGCGGAGATTACAAAGGTTGGCGGGACGTATCATTGCCGGACCTCCTGGCCGGAGTATTTCGAACCGGACGACAGATCTTAGAATATTGGGGACTACTTGTGGTGCCTTGAGATAAATTTTACACGCAGTCGTAACGAGCTTTGTCGTATTCTTCCGCAAGCTACGTGTTGGAAGGCCGATGCTTTACAATTGCAAGGTGAAAGTGTGGTCCGACAAATCCGTGAACATGCTTTTGTTGGAGAGCCCCACTGGCAGAGCTGACCGCCCTCGCGCGGCGTTCGGTAAGGGAGGAGCTGCTGACGCCGCTTGCGAGGCATGGCGCAGAATCACGAGCATGATGCGAAAGCGCTAGGGAAGAGGCAAATATTTTGCCATAGCAGATAAAATACATGGCTAGGGAACTCGTAAAACTGAGCCATATATGGTCGACGCCTCTCTATTCCCGCAACTACGCCACTACTGTGTAGCTGCCGTCTCGAGCAATATAATTCGAAATCCCCAGAGCTCTCGCGCCCCATCAAGCTAAACCAATGCCACAGAGGAAAAGTCGTCTACGACCCTATCCGGGTTCGCCTCAGCCACCTGCTCAGCAGTATGGCTGGTGGCGAGAGCCACGACCTTGCAGCCGGCAGTCTTTCCGGCGCGGATGCCCGCAGGTCTGTCCTCAAAGACGGCGCAGCCGGCTGGGTCCTTTATGGCGAGCTTCTTCATGCCGAGCAGGTACCCGGCGGGATCGGGCTTGCCGTCCTCGACCGATTGGCGGTGACGAGGTGCAGGCAGGTGGGCAGGTCGAGGACCCGGCCCCAGCCGCTGAGCAAGGGTAGCGAGGCGGACGTGACAATGGCCCAGTGCAGGCACAAGGCGCTGACTCTGTCGAGCATCTCGCGCGCCAGGGATGATGGTGGCGTCAGAGCCGTAGTTTTCTAGAATGCTCTTTTCAATATGCGTCGCATCTGTGTATAGGAGTATTGAGTTGATGCATTCGTTAAAACGCAGAAATAGGTTGAATGCGTGACTTACACTCCATGGTTGCCTTTTTGGGACATATAATCTTGAGCGCATCAAAGGTTCTGCGGCCGTGAGCCGTTTGCAGAATGTCATTGGGGTCGATTCCCAGCTCCTTGCCTATACTGTAGGCGACACAAGGTCAGTGGTTTTTGCTCCTCGACTGCGAACAGCGTTTGCATACCGCTGCCAGTGTTGAACTACTGTGTTAGTAGAGTCAATCAGTTTGTGCCATCCATATCGAACAGCAGTGCCTCGAAGGGCACCACCACAGGTGGCGGTGATACCATCATGGCTGATGGCAGGATTGCAGGAAGCGTCGTAGCCAACTCTGTAAATGGCCAGAAGAATTAAATCCTGAATTGATTCAGGTGATAGAGCTAACGTGCTCCTCTATGAAGGGTTGTGGCATTACCTAGTTGCGCTGGAGGTGCAGATTTGTGGCTTTGATACTTCACGTTCTACTTCCCGTTCAACTACCACGCTGATCCTTGGATCCACTGCTCGATGGTGAGATTTTTCAAAGCCAAAGTGTCAAGGTCTGGGATCAAGATTTTGTTTATCTACTTTAATTCGCCCCCCCCCCTCTACCCATTCAACTATCTATCTAAGGCCTCGAAGGCTCGGGCCCTGTTTTTAATCACCGCACTTGCTTTAGCTCCTGCGCCATCTTCCTGGCGCCGACAATGGCGAAGCAGGCTGCCATCAGTGTGGGATTGGTGGCATTCTGCGTAGGAATCACGCCGCAGCCGCCGACAAAGAGATTCTCGGTTCGCCAGACCTTGAAGTGGCTGTCGACGACGGAACATCCGTCGTCGACAGGGTTGGCGCGGGTCGTGCCGCAGATGTGGAGCGCGGCGCCCGGCGGCATGAACCCGCCCAGGCTCGTGGCGATGCGCACCATGCTGTAATCGGGGGGTTGTTAGCTGCAAGACTAGGCTAATGCTAGGTAATGGATGAGGGACAAATTATGAATCATAAGCACTCGGTCATCATGTCCCGGGAGCGCTGCACGTCTTGCTCGCCAGGCTGAAAGTGGAAGTTGGATAGGCCTTGGCTGCATGGGTGCTTGTCCCAGGTCCCTCTCAAGTAACCGCTAGCAAAAGGTAATAATCAACAAATCTGGATGGTAGATTAGACTTGGGTCCAAGCAGTGGCCACCCGTATCTTGAGCTTTCGCACGGGTCCGAACCCTGGGGGATAGGTCGTGGCTCGGCTCTTCGGACCTCCTCGACGGCACCCTCGACTCGCTATCCCCCCGAAGCATATCCGGACTCAGCACGCCGCCAGAGGTGCATCACAGCGTCTGGCTTGCGGGTATTTCCAGGATTCTCGGCAATTTTTGGCACAACACCATCCGACGGGCCGCGCCGGTGGACATCCACGACAGCACGCAGCGAGGGTCGCTGACGGCGTACCTGCCTCCTGACAAAGAGTCTGCCGACTGTCTGCGGAAGGTGGACAGTTATCAGGCGGGAGCTGAGTATCTCACATCTACTATGTTTAATGCCGAGATTCATGGAGGCTCTCATGCAAGCAAATTGCCTTTAACAACGGGTCGAAGCTGGCGCTGGCTGTCGAGGCCGGGGCTACCTGGAAGGGCGCTCCGCACCAGGCTCCTTTTCCCATCTTTGGAACCAAAGTTTGCTGTTTAATCATGGAGAGCAAGGTGTATCGGCGCGAGCTGAGGCGAGGCTTGCAGGTGACGGATTGTGTGTCAATGACTCTGACGGCAGAAGGGGGTACTGTCAACGTAACTCTCGGTGCGAGACAGGCACTGGGCATAATATGCATGCTTTTTGTATAAACAATTGTTTTTCTTTTTTCTCCTCCTGTTATGAGACGGTGGGAGGGGTGGAAGTTATCATGTACATTGTTACGAAATGTAGAGTATAAAAGAAGTACCGAGCCTGCTGTGCTGTTAAAGACGACAACTACGGCACTGGCACAACTTGCGCTAATATTACGGCCTTCTCTTCCTTTTTTTTCTCCTTTTAGCCAATTTTGATCGCAGAGACTTCCAAAAGCTCTTCCGGCCATCTACAAGCTTTTAATCTATTGCCTGGTGACAGTATTGCATGGGATTTTTACGGCCAACGTTGAAGTCACCCAAGTCCACCTTTTGGAATTGGTAGATCAAAGAGGCCCAAGACCGCCCCGCACGGATCTGCACTCTCCATACTAAGCGTATTTGCAGGGCGTGCCGGGCCAACGCTACCACCACCGTTGTTCTTGGAGAAATGTGTATCAGAATAGAAAGAGGGTTTCACATCTCCAAGAAGAAGAAATTCGTCCGTGCATCAGTTTTTGTAAAAGTAGCCCGACTTCTCAATAGCAAATCCTCCTTATACCCACCAAGCGCTACGCGGAACGATACCCTAGAGCACTTATACGATTTCATGGTCGTGCTTTATAGATTGGGACTGAGGCCACGCCGTCTTGGAATCCTCTGAAACACCTTTCTTACTATCTCCTTTGGGAAGGATAAAGTAAATGCCCAAGAATTGCCAACTCACGTCTGTTGAAGGCCTTCTTAGTCCGCCCCGTGGTTGGAACCGCGTTCTCGTCGAAGCGCCCAGCACTTCATGAAGCTCGGTGTGGAAAACCAGGCGTTTAGAGACAGAAATGCAGCGCTTGAGGACACGAATAACACAAATATGGATACCATAGCGCAGAAACGAGTAGAAATTCGGGGAAGAGGATCTCCTGCAAAAACTCCACGTATAACACACACTTGCGCATGTTAAGGTGGAGGCGCGGCACGAGTAGGCAGCATAATAGCCAGTGGTAATTTGCTTCATGAGCTCGGCCATATCGCCCATGCGGCTGGGTTAAGGTGCTGGGTTAGGCTGCTATCCACATACCTGCGTCAGCTCAGTGGAGGCGCCGCACAAGTGTCAAGTAACTAGTTAGCATAAAAGGCACAGGGGACTCCTTATTACAACTTAGAGCAAGGGTAATACGAGACCTCTCCTATGCAGAATCATACAATTTTTATATAAAACCTCACAACTGACTCATTAAATCAAATGCTTAGTCTCTAGGTATCAGCAATCTACTATCTGCACAGTGATACATATAAAGTGGCCTGACCATCTTGAATTCTCCTCGGACTATCTCACCCTTGAGCTTCACTTCCGAGCATACCCTTTAACTCTGGTTATTCGACATCTCCCTCGCTTTCACCTATTTCGTGACATGAAATTCACTATCCTTCTGCTTTGCGCTGGGTCTATCGGCTTCGCCTTACCCAAGGCCCAGTGTAACGAAAAGCTCCCCTTTATTCCCGCTCCGAAGGGCTCGGGTCGCACATGTCCGGTGGTTAATGGCACAAGTTCCGTCTACAGCGAAGACGAATGCGGCACCAAGAGATTTTGCAGGGCTATTGGAGCTTTCGGTCTTAATTCGACTCTGTTCACTTTCAATCCCAAGCCCAAATGGGACACCATGGAGGCCTGTTTCAAGGACCACAAACGAGAGCCTGAACAGGAACTCCTCCCCTTTGACTTTGGCGACGGATTTGACTGCGGTAACAACCTCTCCACAACCGAGGACTGTGACGGTACTTTGGAGCACTGCAAGAGTATCGATGAGATAGTCAAGTTTGAAAAATCAAGAGGGGGGGATCGATTCGGCGAAGATGGTGAACAGATGACTGATATCCGTTGGGTGAGCACTGATGAGTGTCTCAAGGCTCATGTACCTGAGCCGAAGGACCTGCCGTTTTTGGAGGGCAACCCGGACAAACCATGTGGCACTAATGGAGATGAGTCCGAGGAAACGTGCGGCACCGAGGCCTTCTGCAACTTGTTCTCTGCAGATGTCAGGGATGGAAAGAAGCGCCAAACTTCTGGCTCACCCTACATTTGGGGCAAACGACAGTGCCTTGATGCTCACCAGAAGAAGCCGGCGGCTGCGGTCTTCTGATACTGTCTTTACCCAGGACAATGCAATCATTTTCCAGAAGACCGTTGAAAAGGTAGCAATAATGTCGGTATTACTAAGTGGTCTCAAGCTGTTACGTTACGAATGCTATCTTTGTTTTCTACATAAAGCTACCTCATTGGAACAGAACACTGTCTGATGCGTTCTCGTTGGTGACAAAACTCCAGTCTAGACTTCACGAAGAGTTGGCAATTTGTCGGCGAACGTAGGGTTAGGATAATGCTACTCTACGAGGTTTCTGTCCTTCTCTTCGTCTGGTGCGATGATTTATTGCACAGCATCAGATGTCTCCGCACCGGTCTTCAGTGTTCCAGAGTTACCCTCATTTTCCAACAGGTGGCTGATTCACGGCGCCCAGGAATAAACCGCGATGGCCACGCCAACTCGATATCCTAGGTCACACCACGAAACGTTTGAGAGAGGCGCCTCACACTAGAAAAAGAAATGTGTGCGGCTGAATGATACCAGTTCGAAGTAAAATTCTAGGCTTAACACCCTTGTACAGGTGAAGTCATGGATAGCCATAATCCGGCCGGCCTCACCTTATTGCTGCGAGAATCGGTGAGCCAGGACCTTCCTGACGGGCCTAGTAGAAAGCAACACATCGTTTCTTGCTGCGTTTTACATGCTGGTTGTACAACAAAATATAAGCAGCGCCTAAAAGGCCGTAATGCGGCCGTGTAGGGCATTGTTGTGTTTGGGAACTCTAATGCTAGCTGCCCTGTTCCTATTATGTCTAAGCGTTTTGTAATCACGGCGCGTAGGGCTTAAGTAAGGTACTTATTAGGCGTTATTTAACGTGACATTATTGTCAGTGGCGCTGTAGCTTTGCCTCCCTACTAGTGCCATCTCTATTGTGGTTACCCGTGTTAATAGTAATTACTTAAACCCGAAGGTGTAGGAGCGTGGTTGTCCCTGAAAGTCCCCCCTCACCCAGAAAAAAAATGCGAGGATTCGGCGCCGTGTCCGAAAATCCGGAAGGTGAAGAAACCCGGGGTAGTTTCGTGAGTCTTTCTCCATCTGCCGTCCAACACTGGTCATGACGCGTTAGTAACAGATTTTGCAAAATGAACTCGAGCACTAGAAGCACCATGGCATGGCCACGAAGAACTAGATAAAGAGTACGCGGTAGGTTGTCTCTATGAACATTAACTCATTTCATTTGCTCACTAATAATATGGAATGCCTTAATAAGTCCTAACTAGTGAAGCCACAACGACCCTAACCCTAAGCATCGCAGCCAACTTTATACCAGAGTATACAAAGTAACAAGGTGTACATCTGAATACTCCCATTACGGACTTCCATATAAGTCCTCACATCACCATCCACCATCTTTACCAGTTGTGGTAGTACTTCTCCTCAGAGCGTTCTTTGAACCAGTCGTACATGTTGCGCAGCTGCTCGACGTCCTTGTCCTTGACCTCGGCCCACGCCGCATTCAGCTTGCGCTTTGCCTCCTCGATGCCCGCCTCAACCTCGTCGTCGTGCTTCGACCCAAACGCACGTTTATAGTAGGACTTTGCATTCGAAATCGCCTTGCGCGCCTGGTCCACGCGGTTCTCGTTAGACCACAGGATCTGATTAATGAAGTCGTTGGCTTCCTTGTCCTTCTCGTCCGAGACGGTGGTGCGCGAGAGTTGCGTGAGCAGCATATAGCGGTTGTAGATCTGATTAGCCTCCTGCAGGGCGCTGAAGCCCTTGCTGTAGTCGTCGCGGGAGACGATGCGCATGGCATCGACGGCGGTGGCTGGGTCGAGTCCGCGCGAGCGCAGGCAGGCGTCGGCGTCGTCAAACTCTTCGCCGTGCCTAGAGTAGAAGCCGCGCAGGCAGTACTCGATCGTGCCGGTGCAGTCCTCGTTGCGCGTGGCGCTGGCGGGCAGCATCCAGTGCACGTTGGGGTCCTTCTTCCAGCAGTCGGCGCGCGAGGTGTCTGCCTCCTTGACGGGCTTGGTAGTGGCGTCGTCGCGGGCCTCGAGCTGGGGGGCGGCGAGGGCGGCGGCGGCGAGCAGGGGAAGAGCGATGAAGGACTTCATTATGATGAGGAAGTTACAATTGGTCTCGAGCTTGGTGGGAAGACAGAAAGCTGACGGAGAGTTTGGGGTCCTGGGAATGTGATTCGGGAAGCGAGCTTCTTTGTACAAGAGCTCTGTATGAGCAGGTAGCAGGCCTGCAATTATCGTAGCAACTGCGAATACGACAGGGGCTACGTGAGGCTATACTCAGAGGATTACTCAGTCCCATAGATATCGGCTCATTGATGATGGGCCAGTTCCATCGAGAAAACCTTGGTACTATAGATCCGCTTCATGCGTCATGACACTATATCAGGCCAACGCTTCGGCATAAGAGAAGCTTGGACGAGTGGATAAAATGAGCCGAAAGTGGTGTCATGTTGTCATGGGGGTCGCCGTTACTTTAAATTTACTTTAAATTGAGCCCCTACGCTCGTACTTCGATTTACTCTTATTGTTAGCTGTAACGGGCAAGCCGCTTGAGCGGCGGCTGTGCCGCCGAGCTTCTAGAACCTTCCATTGATCGAAGCTATAGAAGTGCTGTTATGCTCTCATAAAGTTGATTCACTTTCTTTCCTCTTCATCTTGATAGAAAACAGCATAGGAACTAGATAGTTGAATCAACTTACTAGCGGCCTTTCACAACTTCTTGCATCAAGGTGTTATGATGATAGTTTGCGGGAAGCAACGAGAACGGCTCTGGTAGCGATAGCTGCTCTGTGGGCAAGCATCTCTCCGTGCTCTTCTGAATAGCCAGGTCGGCCATATCACAAAGACGAGGATGGCCTAGAATATCTGCGGCCGACAACTTCAGATCCATGTCCATAGCCCGTGCCGACAGAACCATGGCACTAATCGAGTCACCACCAAGCTGGAAAAAGTCGTCGTTCATCCCAATGTCGCCGCGATCCCGACCAAGCACATCTGCAACCAGCTGGTGTATTTTACTTTCTGACGTATTGGAAGGGGGCCTCATTCTAGATGAACAGAAGCCACGGTAGATGTTGAGCTCCCGTCGCAAAAGTGAGCACGCCTTGTCCTTGATAAGACGCCGGTCTACTTTGCCGGTAGGACCGAGGGGGAATTGCTTGAGGGGAACAAATAACGAAGGGATCATGAAAGGAGGTAGGCTCTTCCGTAGCGCCACTTCCGCGATCGATGCCCGAGATTGAAACTCTTCATCTGGGACGGCGAACATGGCAGACGTGGACAGCGTGCCTTGGTTGTTACTGGAGCGTTTCCCTGCAACATTGCTGGCATCCCAGATAAAAGCAGCAAGTAACCTCTGACTGTCTGAGTTCTCGGGGGCAATGATTTCCACAATGGCATCCGTTGTGGCAGGAAAATGCCGCGCAACTTGATGTTCAATCTCCGCAAGCTCCATTCTCTGCCCGCGAAGTTTGACCTGCCTGTCCTTCCGACCAACAAACTCTAGCGATCCGTCGCCGTCTGGACTGTACCGCATCAAGTCTCCAGTTCTGTATAGCCTGCCTGGTGACTCACTTCGTGGCATGGCACGCAACCACTTTGGCGGCGGAATGAAAGGCGAGCCGCCCAGATCCTCTCCCATGTACCCGCGGCCGACAATCGGGCCCTCAATCACCAACTCGCCAACCGCCCCAATGGCAACCAGCTTCTCTGGGTTGGCAGGCTCTACCAGCCAGCATGCGGAAGAAGCTGCCGATCCGATATTCACCGGATTGGCACCCGGTTGAGTCTTGGGCTGCACAGTGCAGTAGACCGTCCCCTCAGCAGGACCATATACGTAGACGAGCCGCACGGCGCCTGACCAAACCGTAAAGTCTATTCCCTTTGCAGACTCGCCACCAATCACCAAGGTGTTGAGATCTGGTACAGCGGAGGGTGTTAGAGTTCGGGCGACCGAAGGTGTCAGAAAAGTCCAGTTTGCTCTACGATCTCGTATGGCTTTGGCTAGGTTGTCCCGGCTGTCCGCTTCATTCGGGACGCATACGCAGCCGCCAAGGGCCAGTCCAAACACATAATCGGCAGCGGTGACGTCGAATGCATGGGATGCAAACTGAAAAATACGTGACTGGCGACCCAGATGGAAGTGCAGTCCAAGCGCGGTAACTTGGGTGGCGAAGGCTGAATGCTCGATAACGACGCCTTTCGGCGTTCCCGTTGACCCCGAGGTATACAGCGCACATAGGGCATTACTAGGGAGTGCTTGGATGGGATGATGCACTTGAGTAGTTAGCGAGGCTTGGTTTTCTCGACTGCTGTTCTCATCGACCTGGACGACGTGTTGACAGCCGAGCTTCGCCGCCAACGCAGCCATATCCTTGGAACATAGCAACACTGATGCTTGCGCATTCTTGCAAATCCACGCCAGCCGTTCGGTTGGGTGTGAAGGGTCCAACAGTATGAACGCGCTACCGGCTTTGGCGACTGCCAAGATGGCAACAGCGACCCATTTCGACTTTTCAAAGCAAAGAGGAACCATCATGTCTGGACCCAGTCGTTTCTCTCTAAGAACGGCTGAAAACAGTGACGACTGATCGTCGAGCTGCTTGTAGGTAAACTGACCATCCCATGCGTCAATCGCGCTAGCTTCTGGCTGCGCTACGCAATGGTCGTGAATCATGTCATGGATGCACCTCGGAACGGCTGGAGGCGCTGAAGAGTTCCAGCACTCGATTTGCTGCAAGTCATCTGTGCTGATACTGTCCATGTCGCCCACCAATTTATCCGGCGACAGTACTGTCTGCTTCAAGACATTGCCAAAAACTTGTAGAATCCGTCTCATTTGGGCCTTGGGCACCACCGTGGCATCGTAAACAGCCTCGAAACGGACGCATCTATCGGCGCCGGGGGTTGACAGAATCGTCAATGCGTATGTATTCCACATTGGCTGGGGCGTAAAAGCACCAGTATCACCGAAGATGCCAGATTTTTCGGCTGATGATTGACGCTGTTGAATGACGAGGAGGCTTTGGAACTTGCACGCCTTGGCCGCGTCGTCTCCAAGGCGACTGATGTTCTGTACCCCAAACTGTTCAAATTGTATCATCTCTATGATACGTTTCTGCAGCGTCTCCAGCTCCTCGTGAATTGATGAAGAGGACCTCAACTGAACCCTCAAGGGAAATGTTGCAATCGTGGGACCAGCAATCTTGTCAATCCCCGGCACGGGCGCTGCCCTGCCAGAAACCGTCAAGCCAAACACTACATCATTCACGCTGGTGTAAGCCATTAGAGTCATTGCCCACGCTAGCTGTATGCGCGTGGTGAGTGTTATATTTGCTGCCGTTGCAACACTTGGAGGGAGGCATATATGCTGGCTTTCGGATTCCGTGGTATTTGGGGAATGTGTGGGCGTTGGCAGAGCTGGAAACTGTTCGGCGCGTATCCCAGCAAACTCACTTCTCCAATGATCGGATGAATTTTTATTAGATTGGAGTACATATTTGACAAACTCCCTAAATGTTTGAAGGACTGGAACGTGGCCATGATACGTGTCGCTCACTTGGGTCTTCAGGATAGCCGCTGACCAGGCATCGTATATGCAGTGATGCATGGTAACGACGCAAAAGTTTGGCTCTCCGCTGGCGTTGGATATGATCGCCATTCGTACGAGCGGCGTACCCAGATTTACCGGCTTTGCCTCGTCGTCCGCCAGATATTTGGTCAAGTCATAGGCCATGTCAACAACCGCCTCGTCGCGAACCACGACTTGATACGTTGGGCCGTCACCAACAGATCGTATGACACGGGTTCTCAAGGCGGGGTTCGCGTCCAAGGTGGCTTTCCAAGCTGCTTCGAGCTTTCGAAAGCTAACGCCCTCTCTAAGCTTGTAGACACGTCGTGACACATACGAGCCTGGCCGTAGGGAGTTGAGAGCGACAAGGCCCTGTTGCATTGGTGTAGTTGGATAGATGTCCTCAATCTGAGTCGCCGGTAAAGCGTACTCCTTAGCTGCTGTTGCGAGAACAGCTTGCTTTTGGCTCTCTGTAATCAATTCAAACGCCGAGCATGTGTAACTCTGTTGCGTGTTTCCCTCCGTGGAGCCAATCAGCTTTGCCTGACTTGACAGTACTGGATTCGCAAAAATGTCCCCAAAGGTCAGACTAAGACCGAGGCCATGCGCGGCTGAGGCCAGCCTCATCGCCGCCAGCGAGTCGCCTCCCCGTCGGAAAAAGTCCTCGAATCTTCCGATGCTCGATTCAGCAGTGTTTAGCACCTGCGACCAGAGCGAACGGAGCTGCAGTTCTTGGGGTGTGCACGGGGCCTCGTGGCTGGCAACGGATCCCAGACATGCAGCTTCCTCCGAAGCCGTCATCTGGAAGAGAATTTCGCGCAGCTTTCTGCGATCAGTTTTGCCGGAGAGATTGAGTGGTATATGGGACACTATGACGACGACGGTTGGAATCATGTACCGGGGAACGACGCTGGCCAAACGAGTCCGAAATATCTGCAGGTAGACAGTGGCTCGGTCCAAGGGGCCGAGGAGAACAGTACCTCCCGTATCAAGTGACGTAGGGTTCATTCCGAGAAACGCTGTCAACTTGACATCCTCAGATATTGACGTGCGGCACACGTCCATAATCACATCGCAGACTTCCGTGTCTGAAATGTCTATCAGACAGCGCTGAACCTGCTGGAGCACGTCGTCCAGGTCAAGCCGCTGTCCGTATAGCTTGACTGAGTTGTCTTTTCGGCCAAGGTATCGGACGGATCCATCGTCAGCAAATTGTGCCAAGTCTCCTGTTTTGTAGAGCTCCCCATCGTATCCAGGCTGTAGTTTTCGCAGCCAGGCTACATCGTGAAGAAATGCAAGCGCGGTTCTCTCAGCATCAAGGTATCCGCGAGCCAGCACGGGACCTTGAATAACTAACTCACCAACAGCTCCCACAGGCACCAGCTTGTTATGGTCGCCGGTGTCGACGAGCCAGATGGATCTCCCGACTCTGTGGCCAACGTTCTTTCGGTCAGACGCGACCGTCGGGCTCCTCCTCACGCAGCAGAGGCTGACACTCTCAGCCTGACCATACGCGAACAAGAGATTCACTTTACCCTCCCATGTTGCAAGACCTTTGAGCGACATGGGCTCACTAGTCAGGAGCAGCGTCTTGAGCTCGGGGGTCATGCCTGGATCGAGGAGGGCTGCCACAGACGGGGTAAGGTTGGCCCAATTGACTTGGTACTCGGCAATGAATGTCTCGAGGTGGTTGAGCCGCTGCAGCTCAGACGGCATACAGACACACCCTCCGAACATGAGTGTGAGAAGAATGTCCCGGTGAGCTATAAGGAAGGCGAAGCTCGAAAACTGGAGCACACGAGACTGGGCATCCAAGCAGAGTGATTGTCTCAGCAGTGTAGCCTTGTGAGTTCAGCCAAGAGACAAGGGAGAGAGCGAGGGTGACAATAAATCACAGAGATCCGTCTTCTAGAAGGCTTTATAATGAGATCTTTAGAAAAGAATAGTCTGTCAGCCCGAGATATTCAAGCCCTGAATAGTTTATGTTGGTAGATTTTTTTGGCCATGGGGTTCTTAATCATTACCCTAGTTAGCTATAGTCTCCTTGTAGTCTCCTTACTAACGGGCAGGCAGTCATCTGCGCTGCCATTTAATTTGATAACTTGACCATTAACACCGAGGCCTCCGAGAATAAAAGGAATCATGAACGTCATTTCTGGAGCTCTTCTTTCCCCCATCCCCTTTCCCTCCTCTACGTAAGACGCAAATAACAGTCCAGTTCGGTAGACATTGCATGCATGAATCGACAATACATACCAATAAAAGCAATCTTCCATCTTGGCAGGGCGTAATGGGTCTTGAACTCGCGAGCAGATTACCCATCATTAGTGCAACCTGAGCGGAGTTGATGTCGGGCGGTGCCCGATGACAAAGTTTGCCATCGTCAGCTCGCCTCAACAAAAGTTCAACCCTAGCTGCTGCGGGATGTCGACACTTGATCGTTCTTTACGTCACGAATCCCACCGCCTACCAGATGGAGACGTACTTCAATTCGGGCACCGCGTGGGAAAATTACATGCTCGTCGGCGGTCCGGGCTATAGTAGCAACGGCTGCTCTTGAGCGGGGTTTCGTCGAGGCGGTGCAGACGGTCTGAGCCGGTACCGCCGCGACTTGGAGTCGGGGGAAACTTACATTTAGTACATTGCGCACAAAAGTTAATAAGGCCAAAACCATGGCCACCAGGAGCTGGGAAGAAGAAGCTCAGTTACAATCCAAAAAGGTTGTCATTTCCCTGCCCTGCCCGAATTCAAGCAACGGACAACCTTGCACAATATCTTTGTGGCGAATCACCGAACGAGCTACAATTTCTGAGACTGGATAAAGTAGATGGTACTATACTAGAGGATACTTAGGTGAGGAGATTCGATCTACTAGATAAGAAAGTAAGAATATTAATAGGGTCATGTATAAATGAAAAAGTAGTAGAGAGCTAGACAAGAGAATATAAGTACTAGTAAAAGTCCCTTTGTGCAATCTCTGCATGACACTCATTCTGTGTCTTGTGGCTGCACAGACTTGGTCGTTTCCAGACTCCACCGCTCATCATGCTTCGCCAGTGACACGGAGACGGCCCTTGCCGCCTTGCGCAGCCGCGCTTGATCCTCGATGGCATCGTCCGGCACGTGGTAACCATCCCGAGGCAGCAGCAGCCCGAGAAACGACGACTTCCAGTCCGCTTCCTCCGCTTCTTGTGACTGACCACGAGACGCCAACCAGAAATACCGTTTCCAGAACCATGACAGCAGCCCCAAATGCCAGGTACCTCCAATGGACGACGATGCAGGTTTCTCTCGCCACTTGTCCGAGCTGCCGCCTAAGACCAGTGGCTTTGTCCGAGAGCCTTCGCATTGGATGTCTGTAGTCGTGGCTAGCCCATCCATGAAGCGATCCACCGTCTCCATGGTCCCGTTGCCGTCGCGCCAGAAGCCCTCAGCCCATACGGTCAACGTTACAGCCCACTGCGTCACTACTAGGCTGACGCCTGAGAAGATATAGTGTGAGTGCGCTTCCAGTGCACTGCTCGCAGCCATTGCGATGCTATCAACGCAGTGAGGTTGGTACTAGACGCTGACATTGCCGGGCGTGTGCATACCTATCCCCGACACCTGCGTCTCCATGGGCTCAGGCATTTCCACATCGAAGAAGTTTCCTTCCGTCTCGGTATCGCGAGAGTGGCAAGGCACCCACGATCCGTCGACAAAGACTTTGTCCTAGGCCAGCTCGAACCCGTCCATTGCGGTTCTGTGTAAATAGTCACGTGACACTTCCGATTCAGCGCACTGCCCGTTGATCATAGTCGCCTTAAGCGTCTTAAGGCACAGCCGCAGCGCGCACCGAAAGCAAAGGGGATCCGCTCGCACTGCTGGCCCCCCTCACAGGTGTTGTTGCGCAGCGTCGCGAGGCCTTAGAAGCCGAGAATGCTGCTCCGCGCCCACGGCCGGACCGGGAACGACGATCCCCGGCTGATGTCCAGCGACGTAAGGTTGAACCCTGACTGGTCGACGCGCATGGTGAGGTTGCCGCCAGTTTTGCCGCGGTTTTTACCGCGGTTTCTGCCGCCGCTGCCGATGAGAAGAACTCGGCGCCAACGGGCTCCGTTTGATCGTGAAACGGGCTCCGTTTGATAGTGAAACGGGCGTCGCTCGACGAAGCTGGTGAGGTCCTCACAGTCGTGGCACATGTCAAGCGTGGTCAGCGACACGCCGCCGTCGTCGAGGAAGGTGCAGTTGCCCGTGGGGCATGTCGCCATCGGGGCGATGCCCACAGAGGTATTTTGCAGCGGCGAAATCAGACCCTGCATAATAGCGATGTTCATGCAGGAGTCGAGCTTCCAAACCCTACCCCCTCTGGTGCCGCTGGTGTGACTGCAATGATTGAGCCGCGGGATGCTGCTACCCCGGTGACATTGCGGTAGCATACGTCAATTTGCAGAGCAGCCTGGAAGAAGGGATCCGTGATTGCCGTGAGGAGGAAGACGGCGGCGCCAAAGCTTGCCAGAAATCTAAAGGTAGGGTCAGTACAGGGGACACCTCCAAAGCAATGCTGAACAGAGGGGAATTTTCTTACCATCGCTTCCCGTCGACTAAATGCCGCCCAATCAGCAGGACAGAGCCCCATGCCCCACGACTGGCCTGATGGTACCGACCCAAATCGACGAGGCTGCGCGAGCTCTGGAATAGCCTATGAATCGCAGGCTAAAATCTGGTCGCTATACAGGGTGTATTTTGTCACTTTCCACGAGCCTTGTTTATTAGGGCGAGTATGTGGTGCTCAGGGGAAATCTGACTGCCACCATTCGAGCTTCGTTTGACGCACACAGGCTCAGCCTGATTTCCTTGACTCGTCCTTGGCCTTTACTCATTCTCAGCCTCAACAACACAGAGGCAAGCGACAGATGGGTGTTAGATGGGGACTTTTACATACTGCTGTAACAGGTGCAGACCCTGATAATTGCATGGAAATGTAAGAAACTTATAGAGGAAACTAGTTGTTAGATATGGCAAAGGTCGCGCGCACATTATGCAAACGTACGTTAATACCAAACCCGCTTGACTACATTAGTTTTATAGATCATCCATTGGAACTCTTTATTATCCGAGCTTCTCGAAACATGCCAAAAAGGGGCTAGCGTTACAGTGGCAGCAGTAGCAGCAAACCGACGTCATGCGCCCGTCATGGAAGGCGGCTACATGCCAGGTAGCTCTGAACAGTAGCTCTCAGCTTTCTCTTATTTAAAGATATAACTTTTCCTCGCTTTAACAAAATACCAAGTCAAAAATCACTAACAAAACATAATTATTTCAATAATGCCGGGCGAGGTCATTTCAGAGGCGAACCCACCGCCTATGCCGAGCCACCTGCCAGCCTCTGTGCTGGATCTGGCGCCGAAGGTGCCGCAGCAGCTACTAGACAGTAGAGTGCTCGAAGGGCTCAAGAGCTTTCAGAATCTTGCATTCTATATCGCTGGAGGTGAGGCCAATGAAAAGAAATTATGAAACTGCAGAGTTGTAACGTCTTCGTTAAAATGGCGGCTGATATATAATAGCGATGATCTTTCTAAGAGACAACGTCTTGCTTAAGCGTGACCTACGCTTTGATGACATTAAGCCCAGGCTTCTTGGTTTGTATCACGATTGAAACGGCTTTCTTTGGCGTTATTAATGTTCCTCTAGGACACTGGGGCACTTGCCCTGGCCTTATTCTCATCTGGTCCCACGTCAACCTTCTCATCCAACGACACAACATCAATACGATCCTCGTTGTAGGCCCTGGCCACGGAGCACCGGCTGTGCTCGCGTCTCTATGGATCGAGGGATCGCTGCAGAAGTTTTACCCCGACAAGTACACCGTCGATAGGAAAGGCCTGCAACATCTGATTACTAAGTTTTCTATACCAGGAGGATTCCCCAGGTGAGCCTACAAGAAGGTATGCCGTCAAAGTAATATTTTCTAATAGTGTATAGTCATGTCAATGCAGAAACGCCTGGTGCCATCCATGAGGGCGGTGAGCTGGGATATGCTCTCGCTGTCTCATTTGGCGCGGTGATGGACCGTCCCGAACTGCTGGTTCCGTGCATTGTTGGTGACGGTGAAGCTGAGACCGGGCCAACAGCCGCGTAAGTAGTTTACTCTCCATACGTCTGTTCTCGGACCCTTCTACACTGTACTAAACATATCCTTTAATACTGACCATCCAAGTGCCTGGCATACTATAAAGTACCTGGACCCCGCCGAGTCAGGCGCCGTCCTCCCTATCTTACACGTTAATGGCTTCAAGATCAGCGAACGGACCATTTACGGATGCATGGATAACAAGGAGCTCATTTCCCTCTTCTCTGGTTACGGATACCAAGTGGCCATTGTTGAGAGACTCGAGCGCATTAATGAAGAGCTGTTTAGTGCCATGGAGTGGGCCGTGGGCGAGATTCATGAGATCCAGACGCGAGCCCGCTCTGGAACGCCCATCGCCAAGCCGCGGTGGCCGATGATTGTGCTCCGGACCCCCAAGGGCTGGTCCGGCCCGAAAATGGTAAACGGCAAGTTGATCGAGGGCTCATTTCGCTCGCACCAGGTTCCAGTTCCGAATGCCAAGGACGACAAAGAACAATTGCATATTGTGCAAGATTGGCTCGGCAGCTATAAAGTCGACAGGCTGATAGAACACGGCGGAAAACCTATCGAAAGCGTGACGTCCATTTTACCCAAGGACTTCTCAAAACGACTAGGACAGAACGAACTGGCCCATCATGCGTATATCCCGCTACAGCTGCCCAATTGGCAAGAGTTTGGCATAAACAACGAGCGCGCCAGCAGCAGCATGGAGGCGACTGGCGAGTTCCTCAAGCAAGTTGCCATCGAGAACCCGACGTCCTTTCGCATATTCTCACCCGACGAGCTCGAGAGCAACAAGCTCAACGCCATCCTTGATGCCAGCGGCCGCAACTTCCAGTGGGATCAGGATTCCCGCGGCCAGGGCGGCCGCGTGATTGAGATTCTCTCCGAGCACTGCTGCCAGGGCCTCATGCAGGGCTACACGCTGACGGGTCGGACGGCGCTCTTCCCCAGCTACGAGTCGTTCCTCGGCATCGTGCACACCATGATGGCACAGTATGCTAAATTCGGCAAGCTCGCGCGCGAAGTCCGCTGGCGCGGCGACCTCGCGTCCGTCAACTACATCGAGACGAGCACCTGGGCGCGGCAGGAGCACAACGGCTTCTCGCATCAGCAGCCGTCTTTCATCGGCGCCGTTCTCAGCCTTAAAGCTAACGCCGCTCGCATCTATCTCCCGCCTGACGCTAACTGCTTCCTCTCCACCGTCGACCACTGTCTTCGATCCACCAACAAGGTAAATCTCATGATCGGCTCCAAGCAGCCCACCGCCGTCTACCTTACGCCGAACGAGGCCGCGGAACACTGCCGGCGCGGTGCATCTGTGTGGAAATTTGCGTCGACGAAAGGCGAGCCCGACGTCGTCCTCGTAGGTGTCGGCGTCGAGGTCACCTTTGAGGTGATCAAGGCCGCCGAGCTGCTGCGCCAGATGGCGCCGGAACTAAACGTGCGCGTCGTCAACGTGACGGACCTGCTCGTCCTCGCCCCAGAATTGCGACACCCGCATGCCCTGACGCGCGACGAGTTTGTAGAGCTCTTCACCCCTGACAAGCCCATCTACTTCAACTACCACGGCTACGCGCAAGAGCTGCAGGGCCTGCTCTTTGGCCACTGCAACACGCGCCGCATGACCGTGGGCGGTTACAAGGAGGAAGGCACGACGACGACGCCGTTTGACATGATGCTCGTCAACGAGCTGAGCCGCTTCCACATTGCAGAGTGGGCGCTGACGCGCGCAGGAGAGTCGGCGGCCATGTCTAGCGCGCGAGGTCAGATAAAGGAGCTGATCAAGCAAGTTTTGTCACAAAGAGATGCTGTGAAACGATACATCATGGAAAACGGAACAGGTAAGGTAGGAACAAGTCAAAATAGCAGATGGCTGACTGTGTCGCAGATCCAGACGATACATACCAGAGAGAGCGGTTCAACTGAGACTGAGGCAAATAAACGGGTTGCGTTGCACCGGTCTTGCAAGTATCCAGTCGATTGATATCATAGAACAGCAGAAATTCGGGGAACAACGCGTGGCAATGGAGTCGTTCATTTTTGGAGGGCAAACTCTAATATATAGAGGGAGGGAGAAGGCGTATAAAAAGAGATGAATCCAAAGCATTGCTATTATCATCGTACCACAGCAAACCTACACTGGATGCAATATTCTCTCGGAATTCCTGGGTAATGCTATGCGCCCAAGCGCCTACTACACAACCTAACCATCTCAAGCTGCTCGTCAGTCTGGCACACCAAGATTCTGTGCCGCGCATCTGGCCCGGTAATCTCCTCGATGGTCTGCGACATTTTCCGCTGGTTAGCGTGCTTGTTCAAGGAAAACCCAAGGCAAGCTACCCCTTCTAGGATGGCGCTGCGCAGCTGCGCGCTCTTTTCTCCAATGCCTCCCGCAAAGACTAGGGCGTCGACGTTGCCGCGCAGCGACACATAATAGCTCCCCACAAACGCACATACCCGGTCCACGAACAGTTCAAAGGCAAGCTTCTTCTGGGCGTCGTTGGACGCGGCGATTGCCGCGAAGTCTCTTGTCCCCGCCAGCACTGCCCAACCGCTTTCCTTGTTGAGGATCTCCTCGGCGCGAGAGATGTGCAGGTCTTTCGTCGACGAGGACGAGAGCTTGCCTGCCGAGTTTGTGTAGTGAAAAACAAGACTATTTAAAGTTTTTCAGTCAGACAAAGCAGATGAATGCAGACATTTGGGTGACTCTGCTGCAACATACCTTGGATCAATGCTCCCGCTGCGCGTCGCGCCAGGAAGGCCAGACACCGGCGTCAAACCCATGCTGGTATCCCAGCTACAGCCGTTTTTGATGGCACAGGCGCTGGCTCCACTGCCCAAATGTAAGGCAATCATGTTCAGATTACTGATGTCTTTGCCCAGATAATGAGCGGCCTGTCTCACCATAAATGCGTAGCTGAGCCCGTGAAATCCATATTTGCGCAGACCATTGCGAGATGCAATCTCTTGATTGATGGGGTATGTAGCAATATGCTTTGGAATAGTCTTGTGAAACTGTGTGTCAAAGCAGCCGATGTTTTCGCAGTTTGGGAGCAGCCTGAAACAGCATCGCACAATTTGCATGGCGCTTCCATTGTGCAATGGAGCCAAATCAACCAAATCTTCAAGTTGGCGGTATGTTTGTTCCGTAATGGTTTGGCAGTCTTGAAAATCACCCCCGTGGACAATTCTATGGCACACTATGCCAATATCCGTCCTGTTCTGTATTTCACGCAGCTTTGAGTCTTGAACCATAAGGTCCACCATTTCTTGAAAGGCCGCGTCGTGGGAAGCTCCCGCTTGCCCAGCTTCCTCGTCCCTAACATGTTCGCCTTGCCGAGAATATTTCAAGGAAGCGTCTTCACTGCCAAGATTACTGACCTCGGCGTGCGCGATTTCTGCCGGCGATTCGACATCTCTTTGCGTGTATGCGGATAGCTTCACAGAGCTAGAGCCGGCGTTGACTGCGATGATAACTTTCATCGTTACCATATATCGATATATCGATTGGCCAGTGTTCTAGTCAATTAAGCCGCTTGATTGTTGGTGTGAGTAATCTTGTAGAGGTTTTCGGAACCCTGCTTGATGGACTAGATATAATTAGCTTTGGCATGATACTGACGTTAGAATGGCGTCATGGGCTGCGTTCGAACCGCAGCATCAAACGTCAGCAGCCGCGATGTTAGCAGATTTAGTGGCAGAAGCCGGGACACTTGGCTTGATCTATAATCGTAGGCTGCCGTCTGGCGCCGCGGAAAACAGATCCTCGGCTCCGGGGTAAGAGCGATATCGTTTGCGCTATTCAACCAAAACGAACGACTCAGGCTACTCTTAGGGCTGGTGCTATGTTAGGAGAAACTTATATTTAGTATATTATATAATAAAACTTTTAAGAACAAAGCTATTACTATTAACATTTAAAGAGAAGGATTCAAGTTATCTATTATTTACCCACCCATTCTAAATTTAAGTAAAGTATAATCTTAAATAGTAACTTAGAAGTAGCCTACTAGAAAAGAGGCGAGGTTAGTTTGTAGACAATCTTAAGAGGAAACTTCTTACTATTGTGACAGGTAGGGGTCCTAATTGAACGGAAATATAAGGATTTGTATTATACAGGACTAGCTGCTAGATCTGTATTGAATGCTCCCTTCTCACGCCGCGCCCCCCGCCCCCCGACGCCCCATTTCATCTGCGCCTCAACAACACCTGCCTTGACAGCTGGCAGCTGCTGACGACAGCCAGTTGGCCAGGGCAGGAAATTTGTTTCGGCGAGGTACCGCAGGAAACGGCCAACACCTTCCCTACTGATACCCTCTCCACCACTTCACCTACGCCTGTCCATCTATCTGCATCGGCCTTGAGGACAGTAACAGCATTTCGATCATCCAGTTTCGGCGCGCGAGTATTGGTGGGCAGTTGTTCGTCGCCATGTGGAAGAGAGGTATCAAAGCGCTCTGCTCGTCGTCTTTCTGGATAGGACCGGCCGAAACAAATGTCTCAAGCTGGGTCTTGCAGTGATCGCAATCCACCTCAGGAACATCGAAGCCGTAGTAACTCAGGATGGAGAGAGATTTGTTCATACGCAGGCGAGGATGAGCAGTGACGTGGAGAACATGGACACCAAGGTCGTCGGTGCCGCTGTTGCTTTTTGCCGTTTCCGCTCGGACGGGGTTCAGGCTAGCGGCAACAACAACACACGAGGCGTCACCTACTGGCACGGTGTTGATGGTATTGATGATGTGCGGACGGCTAGAGAGCTGGATACAGCCCTTGAGCATGCGGACAAGAAAGTCGTCGTGGATGCAGACACCGGTGGCAGCGTCACCAAGGATATAGCTAGGTCGGACGATAGATCCGAGTAGGCCACATCTGCCAGCTTCGCGGACAAGCTGTTCCGATACCTGCGTTTCCAGTTAGGATAGCTTGTTCATTTATGAAAGAAGAGACGTCTGCTCTTTGGATGCAACTCGCCCATTTAGTCTGCCCGTACCCGGTGGTGAGACCAGTAGAACTACTCAAAATGTTATCCGATTCCATAACAGCACACCTTTACAGTGCTGGTCTGCTCGTGTGACAGTTAGGTATAGCGATCCGTGTCTAGAACGCTTGTCGAGCTAACAATGGAGAAGAGCTTGGCTTGCCCTGGTTACAAGGTGCCAGGGCATCGAGAGTGGATAAAACATTGCTGCGTTCAAGTTGCGCATACTTCTTTACCCAGTGGACGAGGGCGCCATTGTGAATCACCACATCGACAGCGTCACCAAGCATCTTCCATGTGTCGCCATCCAAACCAAGACGTGGCTGCGTCAAGTCACCAATAACGGCGCGCAACCTACTGGCCCAAGAGTCCTGCCATACGCTGTATCCGCGGAGAGATTTCTGTAGGCGCTCGAGGGCGGCCGGGACACCCTTGGTTCCACGGACATAGGCGATCACATGTACGTTCTCACGCTCGAGCAAGTCCTTGACGATGTATGACCCCTGGATCCCGTGGCGCCCGTCACAGAGACTGTCGTCTTGCCTGCCAGTGAAAGTGCCGCAGGGTCTGCCGGCTGGTACTCAGCATCAAGCCGACCGAGAAGCTTTTCGAGCACTCGGAATATGCTGCAGCCTCACCATCCCCCGCCACACCTAGGCCCTCCTTGCCCTCAAGCTGGAGGGCAATCTGGGTGCTAAGAGCCCGGAGGGTTGTGTTTGAGTACACTGAACGGATGGACACGTTGGCCCCCGGGCTCTTGTGGATCTGAAGAAGAGGCTGCTGAGCCAGTAGACTGTGCCCGCCACTCTCAAAGAAATCCGACTCGGGCTGCAGAATCTTCACATCAGGCCATGGATCAGGTTTGCCCAGAGCTCCGCCAGCTGCCTCTCAGTGTTGCTGAGCGTTTCCCATCTCTTCTAATCCTCCTCCAAAGCCTCCTCCAAAATCAGAGCTGCATCCGGGAAAGGCAGGTTTGAGCTGTCCACCTTGCCGTTGGGATTTAGAGGCATCTTTTGCAGGAAGAGAAAGTAAGTCCGGACAGCATGAACTGGCAATCGGGACTTGGGGTGATCTCGGGCTTCGGTTTGCATAGGCCTTTAGCGCTTAGGATACACGACGACGAATCCAATCTCAGTACCTTACTCCTCCGCGTCTTCCAGGCCGCGTTCTGCTACCCAGTTGAGCCACTCTTGATGCTCAGGCATAATGTAGCCAATGAGTGTTGGCTCTTCGTTTCGATCTCGATCTCTTCGAAGTAAGGTCTTGCACTCGCGAACAAATTGTGTCCTCTCGAGTTGCTATCAATCTCGTTGAGCTCGATGCGGAACCCACGGACTTTGACTTGATCATTAGCTCTTCCTGTGATTACGCATTTACTAGAACCGTCTGACAAGTTCCCTAAATCGCCGCTCCTGTAGATTCTGTCGCGTGGGCCCTTGTAATACTTTCTCCAGGGCTCTCTGGCGGGATCGGCAATTTTGTTATCCGCCTCAACCCACTTCTGGTTGTCTATGAACCAATTGTCAAGAAATTTTCCTTGGTTTTCTCCGGGTCACTCAAACATCCGTAAAAAGGAATTTTAATTGGCATGTTGTTTTTTTGTGAAAGAGAAAGGGGGCGACTTATTTCGGCTAGACCTGCTGCCCTCAACATAATCTCACTGACCTCACCGACGCCGCAAAGCATGGTTGGGTCATCTCGGTTGACTACAAGGAGCTGGACATTCTCGATGCCCTTCTCGGCAAGTACAATGTCTCCAAAGAGATCCAAGGCATTCGGATCCTCGGCATGGTTCTTGATGTGGTAGTAGGATACGGTGCGGCTCGTCTCGGTGGTGCCATAGGCGGCGCAGATCTCGGCGTTGGGCGCCAGCTTGCGGAGCGCAGCGCAATCCTTCTTAGTCAGAATATCGCCAACGTAGAGAACCCACTTCAGGGAAGGGAAATCCGCTCTGGCACCGCCGCACAAGATTTGACCCATGGCGGGCGTCAAATGGACCGCGTTAGGTTCGTGGTCACGGAACCACTCCGCTAACCTTTTGTGGGCAATGCTTTCACGAGCAGGGCAAATTAGCTCGCCGCCCATGAAGAGAGGGTTAAAGATGTCTCGCTGAATGGGATTGTGGCTTATTTCACTGTGAGTGGGTTAGCAAAGCTTTGATGGGCATCTGATCGTATATAGGGTTTACCTTTGACAAGCGAACTTGGTGTCGGAAGTCCAGCGGAAGGTTTTGGTCATCCACGAGAAACTAGGAACAGTTAGTACGTTACCGAAAATCAACAATTGCCGGGCCTCGTACTTGGATGTGGATGCTGTACCACTGTTAAAGCTCAGGATACTTGTTGGGTCTGGTCCCACCAGAAACGTCAGGAGGCGTTGCTGCTTTGCTTTCCATGTCGGTGAAGACTTCCTTCCTATCCACCTCGCCACCGCTCAGGTGACTATCATCGCTCATCCGTAGCTCGGGCACTCGAATCTTGCGGGATAGATCCTCGTTCATGTACTTCTGGACACGGGGCGCGAAAGCACCATTCTCGTCCCTAGCTTTACCAATCGTAATGAGAACCTTGGTTTGGGAGACTCCGAGGTAAATTTGTTGCCTCGCCGGTAGATAGGCTGGGTCTAAAACAGTAATCGTGGCACCGGCAGCAAGTGTACCACGAAGGCGATGACGAGTTCGATGGAACGGTAGGCAAAAATCATCACGACATCGCCATTGGTGATGCCAGGTTCGCGGAGCTGGCTGGTCAAGATATTTGACGCCTCGTAAATCTGCTGGTAGTTGAATCACCTCTCGGGAGTGGTAGAAGAGGCAGTTTCCATGACGCAGGGCGCTTGGGGGTTTTGTGAAGCATTCTTGTGGAAAATCCCGTGGATGGCACCGATGTAGCCGCTCCAGTCAAGATCAATGATGGGATCCGGAAGCCCCATGGCTGCGGTAGTATGGCAAGATGTTTACCGAGCGATTACACCGCGTAATGAATATGTGGACGCTAAGTTGTTGAAAAGAGGTGCTGAGAAAGCTGGAATAGAACTGCGTTGTCAAAATTGCAAGATGGGTCAGAAAAGAATCCCCCGCATTTCGAGCTTTTCCAGTCACCTTGGGCGGGCCACGGTAGCGCTACTAGCCTACACAGGTACCTACCTACAGTACATTAGTACATACTATACATACCTACCCAGGTAAGGTACGCAGTGAGTGTTTTAGTGAACTGCAGCACGTGTGTTGACCTGTGCGGCCTCGACGGACGCGCCAAATGGAATCCACACGACGCCACCACCGCCCATCCATCAGACAAAGCAAGCTGCCAAACAGCCAGCCATTCTCACGCGCCAGCACACCCTCCTACAGAACCTACAGAACCTTAATCAACCTGGCCACCCTGCGCCCGCTACCGCGAATCATCTCTCGACTAAGCCGACACTTTAAAAAATCCACATTCCCCTTCAGTCTACCGTGCCCGGGTCCCCGCGTCGTCATCCCTCCTGCAGCCCCCTCCCTCCACCCAGACGGACCCTGTCCTCCACGTCTCTCTGGCCATCGGGAGACGTAGCATGGACTGAATCCTGACACCTATTCCCTTCTACAAACAGCGCGTGCTTCCGCGAGTTGCAATCTGGGATCATCATAAGCAGGTACCCGTCGCGGAAGGCAGAACTGTCGCCACGCGTTGACCGTGGCTACAAGATACAAATTCAATTAGCAGGTGCCTTCAATGTAAGTTGCGACTGATCGAGATGGCTTTGGTTTGCGTCCCCTCAGCAGGCTTGTTTGCGCAACCCGTGACACGACAACCCTCATTTTCTTTTTTTCTTTCCGGTGAATCGTTGCTTCTGCTACCAAGCTCTGCAGCTGTTACCTGGCACCTTTTGCAATCCCTCTTGTCATTCTGTTATTCCGCAGCGATTATCAAAACCCCTGTTTCCAGAGTACGCATAGTAATGGCTAACAGGCGAAACCAGCGCGGCAGCTCCGAACTTAATCGACTGAAAGAAGAATTAGGACCGCGCTACCAACAACCTCTCCCAGCAACACGAAACGATATGTCACAACGAAACCGCAGCGGGCGCGGGTCGAGTCGCAACAACGGTGGCTCACACGGCGAGGAGGCCCAGATATGGGACTCCTGTAAAAGCCAGTTGGCCGAGATTGTCACCGGCATTAATGCTGAGAATGACAGCCTAAAAGAGCTCGTCGCCCTGGACAAGCAAGTGGGAGCCATGGACGCTAACAAAATCCCAAACGAATCCCTCAAGACGATGGAAAACCTTTGTCGGTCCGGTGTTAAGCTCTCCGAGGCCAACATCACAACCCTCAAGAACGTAACGGAACAGCTTAAGATTCTACGCGCCGTGGTGGTTGCCAAGGAGCAGGCAGAGGCTGCCGCCGCCGGTCCTAGCAAGAGGGCTGCTAGGGACAGCGCGCCGAATCCCTCCTTGTACGACTTTGACGCTGCGGCCGATTCGCCTGTTCCTAGTCCGATTGGCGGCTCTAGAAAGCACAGCGAGAGGACCAAGGATCGCGAACGCGAGCGTGAACGAGAGCGAGATAGCATACCGCCCAAGGCAGAGAGCGTGGAGCCACCGGGCTCGGCCAACAAGTCCAAGGTCATATTCTCCAAGGGAGACGCCGTCGCCTTCAGGTCCAAGGCTGGGTCGACCGAGGGCATGGCTGATTGGATCATGGGCGAGGTTGCACAAGTCATTGGGGATGGTAAGAACCGCCGATACAAGGTTCTCGATATCGAGCCCGACGACCACAGCAAGCAAAAGGAGTACAGAACAGGCGCAAACAACATGATTGCTATTACACCCGAGAGCCAGGCCAGTACACTTGAGGATTGGAAGAAGGGCCAAGTTGTGCTCGCGCTTTATCCCAACACAACGACGTTCTACAAGGCAGAGGTGCACAGCATGGATGGTGCCGGTAAGGTGAATCTCAAATTTGAGGGGGAGAATGATTCGAAGATCCTGCAGCAGGTTGAGCGACGCTTCGTGATCGAGTACAGGCCGTAAGCGATCCGTATTCTAGCCTGGATCGAGCAGGAATACCCATGCTTGTGTGCGACGGACGACTTAATTGGAGCGGCTAGATTGGGAATGCTCACGCGGCGTTATGGTGTACCACCTAAGTATGTTTTACGGGATAGGAGTAATGGAAGACTTTGTTGAATTGTTTGTTTACTTTATTTTTCGTTCAGAATGTAAGTTCATTGACGGCGTGATCAATTGGCGACTAAGCCGTACCAGAAACAACCAGCAGTTGACTGCAATGCTCAAGGACTGACTATCCACCCAGAAAATACAAAAACGTACAGTCGATTCAAACTCTGCTCGACGCCATGCTGAGGCCGATAGCACGCAATACGCCCGAAGCGAGGGTTACATCCTTCAGCCACCGTCCTCACGGTAGTCCTGGCTAGGTTCAGAGCTGGATCGCAGGCTTCGGCCCGTACAAGCCATCAGGCCCCACCAGGCCACCTACACCAAGACAAACCTTTTGCGCAGACCTGGTACCGCATACTTGAGCCGCCCAGGATCCGTCACAGTGTACCCAACACGCTTCATACTCTCCAACCCGTTATCTGCGGGCGCGACAAGGAGCAGGCGGAGCGTCGACCCAGCTTGGCAGGAGCCGGCCTCACAGTTTTCACGGCGCGTGCAAGCCACGGGCAAGGCAAAGAGGTCCATGTTGCGGACCACCCCAGAGGACCTTGAGAAGCGCCGGTCGATTGTATCGAAGCCGCCATACATGCCGCTCTCGTCGCTGGCATCGGCTTCGGCACGCAGAAACATGTGGCCGTCCTCGCCACCGAAGCCAGCCTTCTCAATTAGCTTCAGCGGCACAAGCGGAGCCTCCATCGTGATCTCTGCCGCCGCCACGCCACCAAACGGCTTGGCGTCATCCACCAGGACCACGCGAGTGTTGACGATGGTGGCCGGGAAGCTGTAAGCCACGCTGGTAGTGAACCCCATGGCAGGTATGCCGTCGACTGAAACCCATGACCATGAGGGCGCATGTCTCTCGGTCGATGGCCGGCACGACATGGACTGCCAGCACAATGACTCTAACAGCGATCCTTTCCAGTGTCCTGCTATGTACTCATCATTGGTCATTATCTGATATGGCATTGCCACGTTCGTCAGAGCCGAAAGTTTACTGGAGGTACCACGGGCCTGTCGTTGCCCGTAGTCCCACAGGATGGCAAACCAGCGCGACAACGGTGTGTCTTGTTCTGCTCTTTTGCGATAGTACTCTACTCCTTCTGGTGGCCCTTCAGCCGTAGAGTGATAGCAAAGACGCTCCAGCAACCCGTCCTCGGAAGAAAAACGATGCCGACACTCGAAATACATCTGGTCCGACGCAAAGTGCACCATTTTGCGCGACAGCACACGCTCTTGAAAGGACCACACACCTTTGGAGATTGGCTGCTTAGCCAGGTCTATATAATATTCCCGGGTGGTTTCTTTAGCAAGCGGTAGTGCATAGACTGACACCAACTCCGTGGCGCAGCGTGTTGTAGTGTATGGAACTTGGGCAGCGCCCCTCACCGGGCGTGGTTGCAAAAGGCCGTCGGCCATGGAATCAGATCCCGTAGCAGATAATGTCAGGTGTGCGTTCTCGTATACAGCGCCAAATTGTCCAGAATCTTTGGCCCAGTCTTGAATGTCACCAGGAATACAAAGTGAGTCGATCCAGAGATGTCGAATCCCCAAAGTACGCGTGACAAATACCGCGTCCTGGAACATCTTTGGCAAAGCTTCGATGCATATCCGCTCGCCTGCAGCGAGCGGGCTATTCTCCCAGTGAGCTACGACGGCAGATTCAGAAGCATAGCTGAGAGCGATATAACGATGGCGGGCTTCAGTATCAGGCTCGATTATCTTTATACATCCGTCAGAGTGAGCGGTCTCCACATCTATCAGGCGACTTGGTGGAGGTTCGTTGCTCTGATACCAGGGGCCATGCTGTTCGCACTCGGCATTCCACTGGATCAACGTTCGCAGTGTCTGGGCGTCAATGGTCCGGGTAACAGGTCGACCGCGGATCATGGCAGCAAGAGGGTGATCTTGGAGCTATCAGCATGTTTCTCAACTCGTAAATTGCCAGGGTTGACATTGGGGGGGGGGGCAGGCTCACCTTGGGACACGACAAACGTAAACGCCGCAACGGGGAGAATCTCTGCTCCCACGGTCATAGATGGAGGCTCTGACCAAATCCAGAAGCCCTGGCCGCCGTCAGCTCGCTGGGATAGCCACATATTGAAACTCGGCGGCCTGTATCTACACTGCTTGGCCGTTGGGGTTTCCAGCTCGCCCAGCAAGGCCAACGCCTGTGCATGGATCAAGACGCAAAGCTCGCAGCCCTCCTCCGCGGCTTTCACGAGGGCCTGAAAGTTGGCATGGTGCCTCACGCGCTGGCTTGACACATCGCGAAATGTACCTGCCCTGCGATGGAATTGGTGTACATGCTGCAGTCCGCTTAGCGAGGGGCGGTACTCCTGCGGAAAAGGCGGGAGGCTCCCAAACGGGATCGACTGGCAGGTTTGGCAGAGAGTCATGCTGCAGCCAAATCTATTCTTCGGTGCTTGTCTAGATTTGTATGCCGAGAAGGACTCGGTTGCACTTGCTCGGTTGTATTGTCAATGACTGACTGAGTTGCCTTAGGTAAAACAAGCCCAAGGCAAACAAGGCTGCGAGTCTGGGTGAGCCATTTGACAGGAGCGGGGGAAAGTCACCACCAATAGTTTGCAGTTTTCCCTGCAATTACGACACCCTGCGTGGCATGGATGAACGAACGCCCACACGGATAGCCGGAAGCACGCGGCAGCCACCGGCAGGACAGGCGGGCGATGCCGCCGATCGCCCGCGATGCTTGGCACGCCAAGTCTGGCATGTCAAAATGTGGGAGTCAACAACTATCGACGCCTTATCAAGAGCACATGTTCTAGAGAGATTATCAGCAGATAAAGTCATGCCTGGCACTTCTCATAAACGAGGAAGGATTCTTCATTCTCCACACGCTCGTCCATTTCGACTCGACGAAGCTCCGCGTCAGCATACAGCTGCACACCAAATCGCCGTATCGCAGCTCCTTCACAAGCCAAATTTCCACGTACTGATAGATCAAGGGGACATGGTTTCGGCAGTTCCAGTTGCTCAGTAACCAAATATCTCGGCAGTAACCTGTCGGGTCTTCGGGATCGCCATGTAAGAATCAAGACCAGTCGAGATGCCACTGTGATTGGTTAACCATCTCATATCGCACACTGATTGTCAAGGTTGCTACAGGTTGCATCGGGGCGCAGCATCACAGCTTGCAGGATACGAATTGAATTTGCAAGTACAATATCAATAATACCCAATTCCGCACCACCCACTACCCTCCAGGAGTCCATAGTTGTTCTGCGAAGAGGGAGGTGCTTCCCTGCCAGTAGACCGGCTCGAAAAGCCCTCGCCAGCAAAATGGCTACATTGCTCATCTATTGCAGTGGAAAATATTGTCTCTTTTCAGTAACAGCCGAAACATGATGTCGAAATCCAGTCGTATCAATGCGCGCCGGCATATATTCGTATACTTTTAGCCCTCTTCAGTATCAACCGAACGATTGCCTTGCCTACATGTCATCTTCTTACATCAGATAGTAGCATAGACCAAGTTATAAAAAGCCGGGAAGCCGCTTCTCTGTAGCCAAATGCAAGCCCTCCAGATTTCCACAACATTCAAGGAAAACACTACATCTCGAAACTCCCGCACGCGACGATCCAACCATGCACGCTGTACTCATCGCTCCTACTTTGCTGGGCCTCGTCGGCTTGTGCCACGGCACCCCGTCCTTCCACGAGTCCAAGGAGGCGGGCTCACCACAGTTCTACAGCACCCCGTACGGTCTTCAGATTGTCGCTCCTCGGACGCCTTACGTAGCCGTTTCGGGCACGAATAAACTTTATTACATTGACACGCGCTTCAATACCGATACGGCCAGCCACATCAAGGAGCAGGTTGAGTGGGCCGCGGCTCCCCGACCGGGTAGCTACATCGCCATCGACGACGTGGCGGCCACGGCCTCGGTCAAGGACGTCTCAACCAACGAGACGCTCTTTGACTTCAACCCGGCCTACGCGCGTGTGCTCTTCGCGTCCATTCTCAACAAGAACAATCCGTCGCTGGCGCTGCCTGTCCACGAGCCGGCAGGCGATTGGGAGGTTACGTACGGCGAGGGCGCGCAGTCGCTTACGGAGCGGGCAGATCACTGCTCCAAGTATGGCTGCCACACGGATGGTGACTGCACGCGCCAGTCGCAGCACTTGTGCGGCAAGTGCCACCACGCGCGCGTCGACAACGAGTGCCAAGTCGGTCATGTCAACGCCATCGGCCTCTGCGCGGGCGGCTGCAGCAAGGCCATTGACACGCCCCGCATCAAGGGGGAGAGTGATTCAAGCTATTACCAGCGCATGGACAAGCTGCACTTTGGTGCATAGGTAGGAAACCTTGCGTCAACATAGGGCCCCGGTGAGAGCGCTGGGCAGGTATCGGGGTCGGGATCGGGATCGGGGCTATCGCGAGGGGAGAGGCTGTGGCGTGTGCGAGTGTGTGATTCGTGACGCAAGGGCATTCGGAAATTGGCAGTACTGAATCCTAAGCTTGTTGATAGTGCTTTAAAACATTGCCTGAGATGGCGTCGCAATGAGTTTGAACGTGAAGGATGAAAATAACTAGATGCCTTGGCTGGCTGTGGGCTGAACACTTTCGTGCTTAGGTAAGCCCTGGCCATGTCGATTGTGCCTGAGCCGATCGGAGCAAGCTTCAGTGGTTGCTTTGTGCGCCTTGGGTGCTTAGTTTAGTGGATTCCAGTTGCTTTGGTGCCTGACGAACCCTGTGGGCCTCGCATTTGTGACGTTGAGCCCCTGAGCGGCATACATTTTGTACATTAGTAGCTAACTTACTTGGTACCTAGATATGAAGTGAATATACCAAGGTGTGCTCTAGTTTAATTTGGCGTCGACAATCTCGAAACATGTAATTCCACAGGACTGGAGTCCAAGCACCCCCCCACGGTTTTTTTCCCCGTCCACCCTCACGCTCTGCCCAGAGTTGGCTGGCCGCTTGTCCCACCCACTAACGCCTCATTACCGGTACCTGCGCCTTGTTCTGCTAGCAGCCGCGACTCCTCCCCTCCCTCCCGCTATTACTTTGGTACCTACCTATCCATTATCACCCTCCTCTTCTGAACCCACCTGACCATCGTGTTTCCCCCCCGGGCTCAGGGATCTAATTTCGTCATTTCCTTTGCCCAACTCCCGTTCCAATTTTCTATTCTTGCATAGTTTGTGGTCGCCAATCCAATTTATGAACCTCGCCCTCAAATCTCGGTGCGTACATACAACCTGAACTGCCGCGACGGCCTGCCCCTGATATCCCTCTTGTTACCTTGACGCTGTGACGCCAGTCACACGCGCATCTCGACGTCGCTAAACAACCCCGTTCCGATTGTCTCGCTTCATTTCACCTACTACCCCTCCGCTACCTGCCCACTTCTGCCCTTTGTTTACTCGGCCTGCTGCTTCGCTCTCGACTTTTTCCCAATCGTGACAGTCGCATCGAACCGCCTCGCCTGACGGCCCTCCCCTCGCCTCCTTTCACTCCATACAACCGCCGTCCACCGTCGAATCGCATCCGCTTTCCCTCGTCTTGTTGCTAACGTCACGCAGCTGCGCACGACCAACCAATAACTTGCATCGCGACGAGCCGATCCGACCACACTTGCATAAAACGCCCACTCCGTCTCGTCGAAACTTGCGCATCGTATTTGCGCGCGCCAACTCGCAGTCATGGGTGGCCAAATCTCCAAGGTTATGGGCAAGATCTTCGGATCCAAAGAAATGCGCCTGCTCATGCTCGGCCTCGATGCCGCTGGCAAGACCACCATTCTCTACAAGCTCAAACTCGGCCAGGATGTCACTACCATTCCCACAGTGGGTTTCAACGTTGAGACTGTCACCTACAAAAATGTCAAGTTCAACGTTTGGGACGTCGGTGGCCAGGACAAGATTCGTCCTCTCTGGCGGCACTACTTCAGTGGTATGTGGCTTAGCTGGTTTCAACAGTTGTCTAGTTTCGTGTCGCCTGCCTTGCCTCGTGTGGAAATCAGCCAGCGTCGTTTCATGCCTGCGACTACTCCGGCGAGTTACTAATTTTCTTCTCAATACAGGTACTCAAGGTCTCATCTTCGTCATTGACTCGTCCGACCGCGCCCGCATAGACGAGGCTCGCCAGGAGCTTCACCGCATTATCAACGATCGGGAGATGAAGGACAGTTTGCTCCTCGTCTTTGCCAACAAGCAGGATCTGAAAGAAGGTTAGCAATGTACCCGCTCAACATCCGACAGCAACACAGGCTGACCGTCTTCGCACAGCCATGAAGCCTCAGGAGGTCACCGAAGCTCTCCAGCTTTCTAAGCTCAAGGACAAAGTCTGGTACGTCGTCCCGAGCTGTGCCACCACTGGCGAGGGGCTGCTCGAGGGCCTCGCTTGGCTCTCCAACAATGTCAAGGCTCCTCCCGCCCCTGTCAAGAAGTAATATCGGACGGCTCCAAACCACCACTACCCTTCTCCTTTGTGTGCTGCGATATTCTCCAACATGTCACGCGCCTTGATCCGACTCGCGACTACCGTCACGGATGACGAAAGCGCCAAACTTTGGCCCTAGAAACAGCAGTCCCTGCAAACACAAGTCGCGCAGCCATGATGTCGTCCAGGGAGAAGAAAGATGGGAGAAGAAGCACTGTGGCCTCTCAGGACGCGATCAGCACACTCTTCTGTCCTCAAAAGGAGGACAATCGTTGGTGCAGTGCAAAGAAGGCAAGAGGGATGACTTGGGAGGCGAGACTCAACGTAACCATTATACCATGTACACCAACCGTGCGTCGATTTTTTTCTCATCGCCAGCCGAGACGGACTATACCACTGTAATACAAGAATTAATGCGCGGGAATCAAGGGAGGAGGGCGACGACAGTATCTGCGGCGGGCCGACAGTCGTGCCAGGTTTTAATATCGGGCTGATGTATTCTGTACAGCTGTTTTATATCAATTTATTATGTCCATTTTTTTTCCAAGCTGGCAGTCTTGAACCTCCTCGGCAACGTAGGTGAAGCACAGCCTGATTTTGAACTCTGTCGTCGCTTGGCATCTGCCAAGCTACTGATTCTGTTGTGTATTATACCTTGTACATCTATCGTGTCGGCTCTGTGACGCCAACGCTTCGCCAAAGCAGCCATTCCAACGCCATAAGAAAGAACTCGAAACGAAACATTTCCTCCGCCTACGCCAAACGCCTGGTCCTAGCCGAGCCTCGTCGAGACCTTGCCTCTCTTTTTAGACATGAGTCCAACCCTCCATCGCTATTCCTTGACTCGTTTCGACGGACGCAGCAGTGAATCGTCGCCAAGGCCGCTTCGCTTGGTGCCCGGCAGGCTGCTTGTGCGGATGTCATTGTCGTCCTGGCTGACGCGACGGTGCGGGTAGTCGACCTTGAGGCCTTCAAAGGCGTTCGCCGTGACCTTGTCGCCGCTGCTGAAGAAGGGCAGCTGCAGGGCCTTTTCGGCAGAGAGGCGACGGTCGGGGTCGTACTCGAGCAGGCCGGCAAGCAGGCGGTAGCCGTCCTGGCCGAGGGAACTGAGCGAGGTGGAGGCGCCGGAGGAAGTGTTGTTGCTGCTGGGTGCGTTGACAGTGGTATTTTGGTACCATTTCTCCAGGTTGGAGGCGAGCGGCGGCGGGCCGGCACCGCCATGGTGGCCGTGGTGATGCGCGTGGCGGCCATGATGCGCGGCCATGCTGGTCTGCAGCGCGTTGAGCTGACCGTACTCGGGCATGGTGGCGAGCAGCGGCCAGCGCTCCTTGGTGGGTGCCCCCATGATCTCCATGATCTTCATCATCTGGTTGCGTTGAAAGGGAACCGTCTTCTTGCTATCCATCTTGGCCTCCTCCCCCTTAAAAATAGGCCGCAGGGAGAGCAGCTCGGCAAAGATGCAGCCGACGGCCCACATGTCGATGGCAGCCGTGTAGTGATACGAGCCGAGAATAAGCTCCGGTGCGCGGTACCAGATCGTGACGACTACCTTGTCGCCGCTAAATAGTGAATGCAGCGGCTTATCGAAGCGTCGCGCCAGGCCCAAGTCGCCAATCTTGACGGCGCCGGACGAGCTGACCATGATGTTGGCGGGCTTGAGGTCGCGGTGCATCACCCAGTTTGTGTGTAGGTAGTGGCAGCCGTTGAGCAGCTGAAACATGATGCTCTTGACGGTTGCGGGTGGGATCGGATGGCGTGGCTGCTGAGTATGATGGTGGATGATTTGGAGCAGGTCATGCTCGGCGTAGTCAAAGACCATGAAGATGCACTTGTCCTCGAGAATGATTTCGATCAGGCGGATGACGTTGACGTGGTTTATCTCGCTGCAGAGGCTCATTTCTCGAATGGCGCTCTGGGAGATGCCTGTGTAGCTGACCTGCTCCCCTTCCTTGTCAGGCTTGAACTTTTTGATGGCGACCTCGTGTCCCGCGGCCACGGGTGTGCCGTTGGAGCTCGTGACAATGTTGGTTCGGTTCACAGCCTTGTAGACGCGGCCGTAGGTGCCACTGCTGATGAAGCCGACGATGCGATATCGCTCCGTGACACGAACCTTGGGTTGGTAGCCTCCCGAGCGGCCGACGCCTTCTAAAGTTGGTTTGTGAGCATAGTTCTGGCTTCGGTAAGTGGACATGGGCGCGAGGAAACCCGAACCCCAGGACAGGGACGATGAGGTGGGCGGCATGGGCGGAGCAGCAGCGGACGGATACCACTGGGTGCCGTGATGCAGCTGCAGCTGGGGATGTTGGGCTTGGAGTTGCTGTTGATGGGATGCTTGCCCGTTATGGGGGCCGAATCTCAGCGGCATGAGAAGCTTTTCAAGAGCTTCTCAGTTCTGATGCGGCGATGTGGTAGAGTAGATGGGGTTCGATGGTTGATGGCAGCGGGACCCTGGGCGGTCGGGCTTTGCCTTTACCTGGCAAGATGGCCGAAGGTCCGGACACCAGCGCCCAAAAACGCAGTTGGACAGAAAAGGTCGCGGCAATAAGAACATGCAAGAGTTTTTGGGAGGGGAGTATCAGTGCCTAAGGAGGGGCCATGAGACGCTAAGAGCAACGAACTCTGGGCTCTTGGAGACGGGCTGTTGAAGCTATCCTCCACGCCGTGACATGGACACTTGTCGAGATGTTCAACAAGCAGGTTCCCTGACTCAGCTTCTTTTCTTTCCGGGAATGAACCAGGGGTTCGCGGAAGAGGAAGCGCATCTAAACCCAGGAACCAGGATGTAGCTTCCGGGCGGGCTGGCGCGGGAGGGGAGCCGAGGGAAAGGGTAGCAAGTAATAAAGGGTTTGGAATGCAACTGCAAGTGGTGATACGTACCATCAAAAGCTGCCTTGACGCCACGCTGGAGTGACTGATGGGTTCGCGCGCTATTATTACCAACGCCAGCGCCGGTGTTGCCTGAGCCTGGCCCCGAGGGCGGATTTGTCATGGCTTCGGGGTGGTTCAACAAAAAAGGGAACCACGCCCTCTTCCTCTTGTGACGACGCCGTGTTCGGCTAGACCTTGTTCAGAATCCCCGGTTTAAAAGAATGTCCAAAAACCCCTGATGAGGAGAGAAAAGCTTGCTTCGCGGATGGGAGTGGAAAATGCCGGAAGCTCGAACGGCCAAAAACGCCTCCACAACGGAACGGACTCGTTTCCACTGTGAGCAGGAGCAGAGCGTCAGCGGCCGAGCAGACAGACAGCGTACCAGTCAGTACCTTGGGGTATCTCGCCACAACTCCTCCTTGATCCAGTAAATAGGGGAGACCCAGCTTCAGCCTCTCGCAATGAGATTGCTGTGGGGTCTCGTACTGTTGCGATGAAGGGACCGAGTCTGGTGCAGTGACGCTTGAAGAGCTCGCAGGCACGCAGCCGACCTGCAGCGGGTGGCGACCTTGTCTGCTTGGTTGCGCGGTGGGGACTATAGGCGCGGTACTCTTGCACAGCTTCTCATAGATGGATTGAGATCGCAATTGTCGAGTAAAACTTGTGGCCAAATAAAAAAGCTTGTTGCTGTTTTGCTTCGTGCTAACTTGCTGTTCTCTGTCAGTCCTCCTGTTGGGATGACTAAGCTTGTTCACCCGACAGCCCAGCCATACACCAACAGTACTCACAAAATAATTCGTACCGATGACCAAAGCAAAGAACGTCTTCCATGATGCTGATAGCCGTCGCTGAAACTAGCATTGAACTGTTGAAGAAACATATTTCCTCGACCTTGAGGCCAATACTTACTGGAGACCGACCCAGGAGTATACGACTCCCACCTACTAACTGCTAGTAGCAGATAGCCAAAGGGTAGCCGCCGTGTCGTCCCCTTCGCAGACAGCGGAAACAAAGTTTCGAAGCAGAGAAACCCGACGCATTAATAGGCTGAAGCATTGCGAGTAGTGTTAATAGAGTAACTAGTAGATCATACTTTTTTCCTAAACCCAGTGCCATCACAGCCCTTGCTCTAAACAAACCAATTTCTACACCTTGCAGGCCTGCAGGGTATCACGGCTATCCGACTAGGTAGGGTTGCTTGTTATCTTGCTATGCAACCTCCCCACGTTCCGCATAAGCTACGGTATTTCAGTTCAAAAAAATTTCAGCCGTCCTTCCTTTACTATTCAGACGCGTATGACAATTTGGTGCATGTTACAGTGATGGGATAAAACCCCAACTGCTTGTAGCTCTATTCAAACGTTCTGATCCCACCTTTTTGGTAATTTGAATGGGGCAAAAGGCACTGCTGATCGAGCCAGCCACTGAAAATGGGTACAGGCAGAGGCTGGCTGAGTTGCCACAGTACAACGACTTTGTCTCATGCAGCCTTTTGCAGATGGAACCATTGAAGCCTTGGGTTGATGTAGTCTCTGGTTCATGTATGCAGATGACTGCGTTCAGCTTCATTTTTGGAACCAGCTCATGCACGTCAAGACGTACTTGGAAAAGAGAGGAGATGGGCCACGGCAAGTGTGGCAAGTGATATGGTGGGGGGACATGGCAGTACTTATTGGAATCTAATCTGGCATTGTATTTGATTGGAGAGTTGCAGCCATGAGCCTCATCACCCTACTTCGTATCCGTAGTGTTAAACAATTATCAGCACATGGCCATGTTATATTTATTGCGCCGAGTCGTTGCAATCGTTTCCTCATTGCTGCGACTCGATGCTTTTAGATACCAGTAGTTCCGTAACTACTCTACTAAGGCCTGTAATAGCAAATGCGACACCAGGGAAAATCTTTTGACAGTTGCCTGACGCAGCCACATTGTCGTATCGAGACGCAGACCACTTCAGCTGTATATATGTATGTATGTCAGACTTCAGCTTACCTTGATCCGAGACAGCGTGCATCGTCATACCATGCCACGTAGCATGCGTAACTTTCGGGGCGCCAGGGTAGGAAGGGGGCACGATTGGCATGTACTTGTAGATTATATATATTGCAGATCGCACGTCATATCGACTGTCTGCTTTCTGAGCAGCTCGCATCTTCGTGCCATTTCTCTGCCACAATGAAGCTCTTTCTACCTATTCTTGCCCTTGTCGGCCTTGTTACTACGTCGCCGCTTGCCGAGCGCGGGCCAAGCATTTTCGTGGGCTACAGAACAGTCAGCGCAGTATGTTACGTGGTCGCAGCATGACACTGGCCCCATCAAAGTCGCTGTTGCGGAGTACAGAAAGTCACTAATACAATAAATGCACAATAGGCTCAAGCCGAGCTTTACAGAAAAGCCGGCAACACACTGGTCTACACTGGGTCTCAAAGTTCCGACCAGCTCGGTCCAGGCGTTTACATCAGCCCCAACTTTGGCGATTGGCCCGGATCTCCTGACGGTTGGGTGTGTGCCATCCTCGCGGATGCCCTACTTTGGAATCCAGTAAACAAGGCTTGGGTCCCGGAGTTTTGGAACGGCAAGCCTCTCTGGTGGAAGAAAAATGGTAAGCCGATGTCGGGTGCTTTCCCTGCGTTCCCCCGAAAGCGCGATATGCTAACAGCTGGTCAAGAGGCAAACATGGTGGCGTATCTAAAGAACATTGGCGGATCCAACTTCGTCATGACCAACACCATACGACTTAGCATAATTGATGGGTTTCGGCTCTTGCAACTCTTGATTCCCGGAAATATGGTTGAAAACCGAAAGATACTGAACACCAGGACGCAATGCGCTGCGAAGACGGACAAGAAGGGCATCGAAGCAATCAAGGCCTATGGCTCCGTCGACTGGAGTAAGTGGCCGAACGTGAAAGGTCAGCCCCAGACCCCGTGAAAAGATGGGAAGGGTTATACGGATAAGCTCCTGGATTTTTTCTGTGGTTGCCATGCTCTCGAGATGGTTCCGCAATCTGGTGTAGGAAATTTCCACGCGTCGAAATCTGATCCAAATGTCTCTCGGTGCTACCAGAGGCTACCCGGCTTCCTGACGCCAGAAAAGTCTCGTCGGGTTCAATAATACCAGCAAATCTATCAATAAACACTATATACATGACTTTGAACTGCACGTAACCATAGCCAGTGTATTGCCGATTCAGTCTCAACCGCGCCGGCCGCAGTCACCCGCCTGGGGACGAGGCTGGCTAGTTGGCTCATTTACCGATCATCCTGACGCAGTCGTGCTGACGCGCTCCCATAACTTTAAACGACCTTGGCTAAGAGCTAAACTATAATACTTAACGGACAGGAAGAATTTCTTGAATGGGGCTCGCGCGACTCTACCAAGGCCGTCCTCCTATTACTGTACCCAGACATACTCATTGACACGGCAAGCCGAAAACGTGTTGGAACAAACTGTGGCGGGAAGGAGGAAGCCCTATGGCTTCACCGTAGTGCGAGATGGAGAAATACGCCGCTTCGTTAGGTAAGAGATCAGCCTAAACGTGATTACTTGGATTACTTGGTTTACTTTGTGGGTTCTGTTCAAGACTGCGTGCGGTCCTTGTAAGCCGTCCACGGCGGCCTGTAATCTGTCATGGATGAGAGTTATCCATGCCATACCTCGGCCAGCTATAAATTCCCGCTCCCGCTCTGCAAGAGCTTTGATTCCAGACTCAAGGGCATTCATTGAACGAGCTCAAGGACAGTAAAACTTTCCAAAATATTGCGATTTTACATACGGCTGTCATCATGGCTACTGTTGTTGCCCAAGCCGCGCCTCAGGCGGTTCCTGTCCCGCCTGCAGATGAAACCCCCACAGGTACGCTGTGTATTCGAATGAACCACGAATGGCTCAGTCTCTCTCGGAATCAAAGACTTACAAGGTACAGAATCATGCTTTTCTTCTACAGGCAGCAACGATGAGAAAGGACTCGTCGTTACGCCTATACACACATACTTATATAACATGATTGAGCTCGGCATTGTCCGCACGTTCTTCTCGCGCCAAATGTTTCAGGCCATCCCCGTCGAGTCCGACATCTCCATCAAAGCCTTGGCCGACAAGACTGATGTCGAGTTGGCGCTCCTGAACCGCTTTATCCAGTTCCTCGTCCTTGTCAAGTGCCTCGCCAGCCCGGCCCCCGGCCGCGTTGCGCACACGGAAAAATCGCGCGTGTTCCTGTACCCGGCGGCCGTCAACTTCCTCTCTCTCGACGTGGACTTCTTCATGGGCCCTGCCACCCGCTGGCCAGACTACTTTGACGAAAACGGCTGGCGAGAGCCTCAGTCCGCTCAGCGAACTCCCCTCGGCCTGTGCTACGGCCACCCGGACAAGTCCATCTACGACGTCATGCCGCTGCTGCCCGGGAACAGGGCCGCCGTGTTCAACGCCGCCATGGCGGCCACCATTGATGAGATGAAGGTTGTGGGCTACTATGACTTTAGCTGGATTGCCAAGCAGGTGGGAAAGGACCCCAAGCGCACTCTGATCGTGGATGTCGGCGGCGGCAAAGGTCAGGCGCTCAAGGCCATTATACAAGAGAACCCGGCGATTCCGCCTCAACGATGCGTTTTGCAAGACCAGATTTCGGCAATCAATGAGGCGATGTCTGAGAATGATGCGATAATCAAGGACATCCCAAAGATGATTTCCAGTTTTTTCGAACCGCAGCTGATCAAAGGTGAGTTTGTCTACAGTCCTTAACATTGAGCTTGTCGTTGACACCCTTTAGGAGCTCTGGTCTACCACATTCGGAGAGTTCTCAACGACTACCCAGACAAGGAAGCTCGGGTAATCCTGCAGCAATGTCGTGACGCGTGCGATCAAGACTCGACGGTGCTCGTCTCGGAGCAGGTCCTTCCTGATAATCCTTCGCTCGATCTGGCAGCCATGGATATTTTTATGATGAATTACGGCGGCAAGCGCAGGACCTATGCCATGTTTGAAGAGCTGGCAGGTTCGGCTGGCCTCAAGATTGCGAAGTCATCAGCAGACAAGGCATCTGGGCAGACCATCCTCCATTTGGTCCCGGTCTAAACACCTCTATGGGACCGGGAGAGATGTCGCGGTATTGTTATTTAGAGAGCGGACAAGTAAATAATGAGACAACAACTACAATAATAACGCTCATCATGCACCCATAGAATTGCAGCCTCAGTCCATGGCTGCCCATCTGAGAATTTCTTCCTCAACCGAGTCCATCGCTCTCATCTTCTCATTCTCTACCTGGACTTCCTTCACACGCTTCGCGTACCTTGAGTTTGACAGAACCTCATCCACTGCATCCCGAATCTGAGTCTGCGACGGCGTTCCTGTCCTCAGATTGATTCCCACGCCCGCAAACTCGGCGCGGTTCGCCACCTCGGGCTTGTCCTCGCTCGCGCCCGCCAGCACCATCGGCACGCCGTTCACAACGCCATGCATGAAGCCTCCGTAGCCGGCATTCACGATGAACACGGAAGCGTAGGGCAGCAGCCTGTCGTACGAGAGGTAGTCCACGACGTGGCAGTTGGAGGGCACGGCGACTTCGTCGTACAGCTTGGCACCTCTGCTTCCCAAGATGGCGACGACTACGAGATCGTCCCTGTCCGCGAGCGCATGCATGGTAGGAACGAGGAGCTGGTCGTAGTGCACCGCCACCGTGCCCTGCGACACGACCACCACCGGCTTGTCGCCCTGGGTGACGGCATCCCAAAAGGGCGGTGCAGTGAAGCTTTGCTTGGAGAGGCGAGGCGGTAGAGCACCTACAAAACGGACCTTGGGGTGGACGTCGGAGCGTTGATACTCAAGACTCGGCGGGCACATTTGCAGCGTGACGTCGGCCGCGGTGGTGATGACGTCCAGCGGATGGCGCCCTTGGACATGTTCGAGGTCCTCCGCACCAAGGTCGGTGAAGGTCTTCTTTTGGAGCGTCATGGCAGCGCTGAGCGGCCCGGACAGCAAGTCCGAGTACATTTGCTTGTAGATGGCACGACTCTCCGTCGTACCGTCCGGCACGACGGTCAGGCCAAAGGGCGCGGTGTCGACGCTGCTCAGCCCGTAGCAGCAGGCGTTGATGTTGACAGCGCGCGGCCGCGTCGTGAAACCCTCCGGCAGCGGCGCACCGAAATATAGTGGATGATCGCCGAGGAAGAACGACTCGGTGAGGAGCACGATCTTGTGCGACGGGTTCTCCCGCTTGACGCGCTCGAGGGCCGGGTACAACACGGTCATGCGGTCCGCGGTGGGCTCGATGAAGAGCCTCATCATGGCCCTGGCAACCCGCTCACTATTGTCCGTGATGGCGGTGAGCTCGGCGATGATGCCCGGTATGTTGTTGTAAGGCGGGACGGTGACGTGGTGGGCTCCCGCGGCGGCGGCGCGGTCTTTGAAGTCATCGCCGGCGAGGAAGGTCACATCGTAGCCGCGGAGAACCAGCTCCTCGACGATGCGTAGAATGGGATAGGTATGGCCATCCGCCGGAGAGGCGAGGGCTATGATTTTTAACGTGGACTTGTCGGGCAGGCCGTTGGTGATGGACTCAGTGCGCGATGGAGCCATGGTGAAGAAGTCGGGAAAGGAGATGAAGCTTGAATGGCAGAGCCAATGTCGGAGCCATCCCGGAAACCTTACTAGAATATATATAGAGTAGCTAATCAATGTCGTGGAGGGGGGCCGTATCGCGATTCGCCCATATCTCAGGCCTCCGGTGCGGGCCTCGACGGACTGAGCCTTGTCCGGAATCAGCGATCAGCTCGTGTCTCCCATGGCAGGTAGCACAGCGCAACAGGATCCAGCGAGGTCGCGTCTTACTATCAGACATGTCAGATTTTGGGTCGTATTCTCAATATGCGGCCATCCAGTTCACCGAGGCCCCGCGCGACTATAGGTCGTGATTGGGGACATCGGAGGTAGGCCCTCCGACAGCCTGCTCTCGGCAGCTAGGATCAAGGTAGGGGATCATCATTGCGCCACTTGGTTGTACCATCAGGTCGCGAGTGCGCCGACTACTCGTACGTTGCAAGCGCCGAAAGCCCGATGACTAAATGTACAGACGGTCTCTTTGACGGCGCATATGTAGCGAGACAGGGCCATCTTCAATCAAGGGCCATCTTACTGCGCTAGTGAAGCTGTACAAGAGCGTGGCCTTGACAGTGTGCCACACCGGGTCGGTCTTCGGACATCTCTATGGGCCGGGCCGCCGGGCCGTCCGGAACGATGGGTGGCGTACGCCTCTTTGGCAGACCAGATGCATTTGCAAGTAAATATATTTGGGCTTGTTGATTTAAGAAAGCAGTCTCGGACTGGCTTGCTTCTTTTGTTTGCTCAGCATCGACTGAGTCGCAGATACCCGCTCATTACTACCACAGTACACAAAACTAGCTCTCTTTCATTACATCACAATGGCTGCCGTGCAAAAAATCCAACTTGCAGATGACTTTTCCGTCTACGCAAACCCCGCAGCAAAGCTCGAGGTCGAGTTCATCTACAAGGAAATCTTCGTCGATGGGTGCTACAACAACGCGTCGATCCCCGACGACGCCTTCATCGTCGACGCCGGAGGCAACATTGGCATGTTCAGCCTTTTCATGAAGAAGAAATATCCGCAATCGACTATCCTCGCTTTTGAGCCTGCGCCGGCTACCTTTTCCACCTTTCAGCGCAACATGGAGCTGCACGGTGTTTCTGGGGTGCAGGCCCATCAATGCGGGCTCGGCAAGGAGAACGCCAGCATGGCCCTGACCTTTTACCCGCAGATGCCTGGCAACTCGACGCTATACCTAGAGGACAAGAAGAACCAGATGAAGTCTATCGACAAGGAGCACCCCATCGCCAAGCTCATGCAGGAGACGGAAGAGGTGCAGGTGGACGTGAAGCGGCTGTCCGAATTCCTCGACCGCGTGCCGGACCTGAAACGCGTTGACCTGCTCAAGATAGACGTCGAGGGTGCTGAGCTGGACGTGCTGAAGGGTCTGGACGACAAGCACTGGAACCTGATTAACAATATTGTGATCGAACTTTGCGACAGCAAGAGCGAGTTCGCCATCACCAAGGCACTGCTGGAATCGAAAGGGTTCACGGTTGCGATAGAACGGCCTGACTGGGCACCCGAAGACCTCAAGATGTACATGTTGATCGCGAACAGACGCTAAAGGAGAAGAGCTTCCTGTATAGTCTATCCATCTATAATTGACCTCTATATTCTAGACCGGTAACCTTTTTTTTTTCCGAACCATCTATGTTTTGCCCCGTGGGGCCAGATCTATTTATTTGGACTTTTGCGCCCACTTGAGAGCGCCGGGGGTGGACTCGTCGGCAGTGACATACTTGCACTGAGTGAAGTTGGACCACAGCTGTCCGAGGAAGGATCGATCATCACGGTGATACAAATCCCCAAGGACAGGCTTGAGCGCATCGGTAGCTTCCTCAGCATAGTAAAAGGGGATGCGTCTGCACATGTAGAGTCAGTACCGCGCCTTGACAAGTTCCGCGCACAATAGAAAGAATGAAATTTACTTACGGGAACAAATGGTGAATGACGTGGTGCTCGATGATGCCGTGGAACAGGTGGCGGCCGATAAATCCGAAATCGCGATCGATGGTGGCCAGTGCACCCTTGACAAAGGTCCAATGCTCAGCCTCAAAGTGAGGAACATCCACGTGGGTGTGGTGCAGATAGGTGATGGCAACTGCGGACATGTCGTTAGTACTGCACGTAGTTACCCGGTAACCGGAGCTCGCCTTCAACTTACTTAGCCAGTGGTGAACCCAGACATACGGCTGCAGGTAGAGGAGCACCACCGTCTGCGTGCCGACGACACCCGACAGCTTGTACAGGGCCAGCAAGGTCAGCCCGAGGCCGACGTCGGACAGGGCGATGAAGGGCGCCTCGCTGCGGCGGAAGACGGCGCTGTTGGGGTCAAAGTGGCTGCGGCCCAGGAACGTCGACGTCGGCTTCTGCTGGCTGCCGCGTCCCGCCGAGACGTTGAAGAGCAGGTAGAAGATCCAGCCGAAGAGCTGGTGGAACAGCAGCGAGACGGCCTGGAACACGGGCGTGTCTTCGAGGAACTCGGTGTGGAACAGGCCGTGGCGCTCCTCGTAGTCTTCTTGGGTGCGCGGCACGAACGCCATGTCCTTGTCCATGTGGCCGGTGAACTTGTGGTGGCGGTGGTGCGAGAACTTCCACGAGTAGTAGGGCACCATCAGGCTCGAGTGCGTCAGGAAGCCGACGACGTCGTTGAGCAGCGGGTGCCGGGAGAAGGCGCCGTGGCCGGCCTCGTGGCCCAGGATCCAGAGCCCCGTGCAGACAAGGCCCTGGGCGAAGCCGTAGGCAATCCAGGCGGCGGTGCGGACGGCGGCATCGTCGATGGCGGGGATGTAGCGGACGGCGGCCCAGCCGAGTGTGCCAATCAGGAGCACGTCGCGGGCCAGGTAGCTCAGCGAGGTCACCACCCGGGGCTCGAAGCAGTGCTTCGGGATCGCCTGGCGGAGGGTGTTGATGTCGGGATACGCTGTCGGTGTCGTTGCCGACTTGGGTCTTTTTCGATGCAAATATTGTCAGCCAGCAATCTTCACGTGTCATTCCTTTGCTTGGGGAAAACAACTCACACCGAGGAATCGGCCTTGGAAGCTCTTTGAGACATCTTTTCTTTTTCTTGTTGTATTCTTGCCACGGGCTGGGTATGCGAACGAATTGAGCCTCCAACCGAGTCTATGAAACCAAAAGACCAACGAAACACCGAGGCAGCTGAAGATTGGAAGGGGAATCACTTTTCTAAAACGCCTTCTCTGGTCCCCTTTTTCTTCCTCATTTTTTTTCCCTTGCCAATTTTAGCATTTGGTTAGCGCTCTGACTAGTCAGGCCAAGGACAAAGCCTCTTCCCTTTATCATCGCGTCTAACTGGCCAACTAGGGGTCCAACGAGGGACTTGATTGGGCCCTGGCTCTTGGTCAGGGCCAAAAAGTCAGAAAGTCCCTGAACATTTATTATGGGCGGGTGGATTTTGAACCCGCTTCGCTTGGCTCAACTTGCGACGCGCACGTCCGAGCCCAACAAAATCATCAATAGATCTTGTTATCAGTACTGACATTGGCCTTCCCTTGGTCAAACTATTCAATGTCTTGGATGTATCACTCATTGTTGCCGCAATTGAGGCCGCCGCAGGACAGCTCAAGTCGCTCGTTCGGTTGGTTCAGCTGTTGGTTTTACTGCTTCTGCTACACGTTGACAAATTCAACAAGTTAGGGGCCTGTGGAACAAAAGGCCTAATAATAACCAAATAACTGACCAACCCTTGCAATACGAGTGCGCCTATTGGCCTCGAGCCATCAATTCAGTTTTCAAGTTAAGAGGGGACAGCTCAGTTGCACCACCTCCATCTAGATCTATCTACATAGTTATCTGTACGGATCTCCTTGCCGCGATTTGGCCTCTGCTTGTCGCCGCAGTAAAGAAAAAGCGCTCGTGCGCGACATCTACATACATACTCTAGCAAAACATGCCGCGTCGCACGTGTTTCATTATTTGGTAGCAAAAAAAAGAGGCAGATTAAATAATAAATAATACTCGATTGATACCAGTACCCGTACTCCGTATATTAGTTAGCTAGCTACCCTGCTCAGCCAATTTGAACTGATTGCCCTGTGCTTCAACACACGAAGCGGTCTGCAGCTACCCGGCGCCCGCCCTGCTGCTCAGATCCCGTCCAAGCAATTCCTTCTATTCAAAAACATTGCAAACTCAATATTCAGCGACCTGGTAGAAATAATGTATTTACACAAGATGTCATCTTGCCATCTATGGATTGTACATGCCGTCCCGCGGCCAAATATTAGGCGGCTAAGCGGCGCCGCAGTGAAATTCTATGAGTATTTTATTCTCTCCAATCCTCTTCAATCCTCTTCAATCCTCCTTCTCATCTTTTCGTGCTGTTAATTCCGTCCTTCGACGCTCGGTGCATATTTGCCATAGCGCCACCTTTTTTGGTTTTCGTCTAGCCACCAACGGCTGACAATGGCTGCTTCTTCTAGCCAGTCGGCCACTTCCGTGCCCAACTGCGACTCGGCACGATTGCGCAAGGTATCAAATGAAAGAGAAAAGATGCCAGTCGAGTTGGAGCTGACGTCTACAAAATGCCAATCTTGCCCAGAGGTGATGGGGAACGTTAACCGCCAATTGGGGTTTCTGCCGTCTCGAGCTGCCAGTGTCGCTCCGCCAGGGTTGGTGACACTAAATTGCCAGTCGCCGTGGCCGTTGTCGGCAGCAGCATGTAGAGGACGCAAAAGGGACTGGCCTTCGTAATTTTTCGCCAAGTCCCTCGCAGCGCGCTTCGACTCTTCCGACAACGAGTCTGACTCAACCAAGAGATCCAGCACAGTAGGCAGGATCTGCATCGTAGAGACGACGTTGCCAATCGTCACCTTGGGTAGCTTGGGGTGCGAAAGCACGATTGGCACGTGGAAGCTGGCAGTTTCGTCGTTGTGGTACGTAGCGACACCATCTTCAGCAACCGGCATGCCGTGGTCTCCCGAGAAGACAACGAGCGTTTCATTCGCCACCCCCTGTTCTTCTAGGATACCGAGAAGCTTGGTCAGCCAACGGTCGCTGTACCCTACTGCGTTGATGTAGTTGGACAGGTCCTCGAGGTCCTTATTCTCGCTCATGTGGACGTAGTGCTCCTCGGCGGGAATTCCAAAAGCGTGATGCGTAGTGCTCGTCAAATGCGTCAGAAAGACCCTCTCCTTCTTTTCCTTGGCCACCTGGAATGCATCTCTAATGTAGTCCTCCAGGGCAACCTCGGGAATGCTGAAATAATTGACATCGCTTAGAGTAGACTTGCCGAATTTGGCGGATTCGCTTTGCAAATATTCTTTGGTAATGACATTTTCCGACTGATATCCAAGAATTGGAAAAAGGGCGCCTTGGTTGTCGAAGGAGTCGGTCGCGGCTTGGAAGTAGTAAGACTTCCAAGGATAGGGTTGAAATTCCTTACCATCCTTGTTTGCTTGGGTCTGGTTGATGGAATTCATAGCGTGGAGGACGTGGGTTAGGCACGGTTGGTAGAAATGAGACTTGGCCTCGACGTTGAAATCAGCGGCGACGGGGCCAATGCCACAAAGGGTAGCGATGACACTCTTGAGGGTATATGTGCTAGCTGTGAAGGCGTTGTTTGCACTGATGCCGCCTCGGCAGGTGCGATTCGGGTGATCGAAGCCGTCGTCGTAGTCGCAAGTCAGTGAATTGGCCATTGGTGTAAGCGTGGCGAGCCTCTCCTGCACTTCGCCGGAAAGTGTATGATTGGAGGTCGCGTCAGCCAGCTTTCTCCAGATCTTACCCCCTTGCTTGACCGGGAAGACGTCTTTTCGAATCGACTCCATTTTGACAATGATGACATGGCGGATGTCGACGTCGGCAAGCTTCCCTTGCAGATCGGAGAGGATTGCGTCCTGCATATTAGAAACCTTCAAGGGGTCGGCCTCGGCGTCGTAGTGCTGTGCGCCGTCGTGATACCAGTCTTCAAACCCCTTCGGCGCGTCTCCTTCAGGTAGCCAGGGCAGCGGGATCGGGCTCGAGAGGGCTGTCTTGTCGTGGAGAACATCGGTGATACTATTAGGGCCGCTGTTATGGCTGGTGATGGCTGCAGGGCCACCATCTCCTGAGATATCGACGATGGGCTGCAAGGGCAGGGTCCAGGACATGAGAGTATAGGCCGAGTCATGGGGGCGCAGGATAGTTGTTAGAAGAGTGGTGAGAGCAACGGCACCGCAAATTGTGTAGCCGCCAATAGCGGACTTGGAGGGTGCGGGCAGCTGGGTTTCGAAGTGCAGCCCCTGCTCGGCGGCGTCTTCGTCTCTGTATGAAAGCAGGCCTTGATCATCAGACGGATTCAGAGTGTCGTCCTCATATTTATTCGGAGGGGTTTGGTTGAGGCTCTGGTATTTGCCGCCAGCAAAGCAGCGGCGAAAGGGCCAAAGCAAAGCATCAGACGTCATGTCGGCAACGACAATCCAGAATTGCTGCGTGGCGGCGGCGATGACCGTCATGATGGCGGAAACGAAGGCGAGGGAAGCCAGGCCGGTAGGCAGGACAGCCCACCAAGCAGGGTCGAGAACGATCCCAGCATTGTTCCAGTCAGGTTCGGTGTAGATTGTCATGTAGCAGGCGAGGGTGCCGCAGCTAAGGACGAAGACTGTCATGGTGATGGCGGAGCCGAGCAGAGAGAAGAAGGGCATGCGACTCTCGAGGAGCATTCGAACCAAGAGAATGAAGACGACATCCTGAAAAAAGAAGGAGGAGCCCCAACGGATCAAATCGGGAGTGGACAGAGCGTGTCGATGGGCGTATATATGAAGCAGTTTGGCGCTGATGACGGAGACGGCAGCAAATGGGAGCATGAGTTTGCGAGTAAAGATGTTTGATGGGCGAGGGATAGATATCCGTCTAGGGCACAGCGCTGCTAGAGATTGGAAGACCATGATGACCAGAGAGCGAGAAGCCGTTTTGGTGGTTAGGAAACCGTTTGGGCGCGGGGGCGCACGGGGTAGATATCTTGAAAGGGGGGTGGTTACGTAGTGCGTCGTCGCTTGCAGGCGCCAACAGCAAGATCAGGTCGTCGGTGCGCGAGCAGCAGCAGATTCAACGTTGCATAATCGAATAGTCATCGGCGAGAGGCAGCGCCGTGAAGCTGGGAAGGGCTATGGGCAGGCAAACAGGAGAGAGATGGTGGAGCAGGATGAAGGTTGAAGATGGACAGAGGGCAAGGAAAAGAGGAAACACGAGCAAGAATGGAGATGTCAAGAAGGACGCATATGCGAGAAACAGAGTGACGAGGAGCAAGACGAGGAGAAAAGAGTCAAGGCAAAAAGGGAGAGAGGGTGCGTGGAGAAGAATACGATGCAGAGAGGCCAAGATAAAAGGAGAAGTAAGTTGATGATGGGAGAAGGGAACGTGGATGATGGGACGGATGACGGATTTCAGGTAACTAAAACTAGCCAACTACCCGGCGGGTACCTGGCCGACCTGGTAGGGCTTGAAGTGGCACCGCAGCGATCTCGAGCTGAATTGAATTGAACTGAAAATGACAGCCACTGTATCGATGCGTTGTTTCTTTTTTCTTTTTTTTTTTCTTTTGCTTCTTCTTTATTCTCTGTCTTCTTCTTCCCTGTCGTTTCTTCTTCTTCCCTGTCGTTTCCTCTTCTCTTTATTAGCTGAATGGAAATTTTGAATGCAGCGTTGGACGCTGACGGGCCGTCGTGCACTGTTTGTATCTTGTAGGTACCTGACATTGGCCCCGGTACCCCCCACCCAGCCTGGAACGACTCACGCGACAGCGGTTTGGCTAGGCAATCCGATCTGCGAAAAAAGCCTCCGGCCCGCTTTGCTTGAATATTGGCGGAGACATTTTGGCCTGTGTCTTGGCCGAGGCCCTTCCATGTTTCTTCCTTGCTGCGTACATTACTGCCAGACCTCGACGCTCGGTGCTAGGGACAGCATTTTCAGCTCCTTCTCGTGAGGCTTTCAAACACAGGCGGGCACGCGACCACACATGCTGCCCTGCCCGACAGCCGTACTGCGTGCTGATGCAGAAACAAGGCTCTGACGCAACAGGCCTCCTCTATACTGAGTATGTACTTGATCGCCCGCTGGTATTGATTGCCCCGAGTTAGCCCGTTTGACCGTCAAGCAGCCGTTAACCAGTTATAACTTAGCCAAGTCATGAACCAAAGGTGGCTGGGTACTTGGAACTTGTCGATCCACCATGATGATGATGATGATGCTGATGATTGACGGGGCAGTGTCTGTCTGTACGAGGTACTTGGGGCTCCCTGCCACAGATACCCAAGCTGCCTTTGTATTTCCTCCCCAGACAATGTCACTCGCTAGCATTGCCAGGTAGACGGGGTACCAACCGCATAGGTACGCAGCCGCTGTCATTTTCTCTGTCGCACGCCGTGTTTCGTCGCTCACCAGCACAGCACTCCCACAGTCCATTGAATCACCATTACATCTCAGGCAAGTCCCTTGGCGCGGCAAGCATCGCAAACAAAACAAAATTATCATCCATTGAATAACGCATATCAGCATTTTCGACGAGCGAAGAGTGCAAAATACCTCTTCAGAACAGCCTGCGCAAGATCGTGTGGCCTCTCGTGTTGCTCGCGTGCCCTCGCTCCATTCATTCATTAATGGCTCCACCCGGTAATAAAGGAGAAAGAAGGACTCGACGCCCGCGCCACGACGCAGTACGAATGGAACCGGAATAGCACCTTTGAATCATTTGAATCCGACAGACGATTGGGGCTGGACCCTCGCGCATCAATGTCAAATCGACCGATACAACGTAACAACTCGAGGACGAATAATTCATCCCAGCACGGGTATGAAATTCCAGAGCCGCCATCAACAGCTTAGGCCCTTTCGCCCAAGCGGCGCCAGCGCTTTGTGATGATTGATGACCGATTGCCTTTGGCCCAGACAGGAAGTCAGACAGCGTGCTGTGCATGGAGCTACGGGGCAATAAACTTTCAGCTGCCTACCAGGGCAATGAAATGCGCAGTCGTCACCCGTACACATGCGCATCCGGCTCGGTTTCACTGCTAGCCCCCGCCCGTACTGAGTACGAAACACTATTAATATCTCGGCTACCATCCAACACCATCACCATTATTGCCATGCCATGCCATGCAATAGCATGACAGACACTCTTCACGAGCCAGCTACCCGCACGCAGTGACGGTCGCCCGAAACCGCCTCGCTGGGGATCGCCATGTCATGGCAATGCGTCCGTCTCAGCGCCTGAAGATCCCTCTCTCTTCCGGCTGGCAGCCTGGTGCGGCTTACGCAACACTCGGTCGCTCTCTTTGCCACTAGTGGTCAAACCGACCATCTCCAGGCGTCTTCAGTCCTCATTCAGATATATCCCTCCCCTCCTCGCAAAGGCTTGTCCTCCCCCGTCCCCCGTCCCCCCCGCCCAGCATCTCGCCAAATTGGCAACAAATGGTCCGTGTTCCGAAAAGTGGCTCACGGTAGCCCGTTGTCTGGACCTTCGGCACAGCCCTGCTCGTCGTGGCGCAACTCTAGAAGAAGGCTAATGAAAGCCTTCCCTTGAGTGGCTGCGGAACGACCGTAAGGCTGGTAGGTAATTTTGTATTCTGCTCGCCGTTGTCGCCGCTGTCGCCGCTGTCCTTTGCTCTCCATCTGCGGTTCGCGGAGGATCCATCAACTGAAATCTCCGAAGACGTCTATTTTCCCCAAGGCCAGGCACTAGTAATAACCAAGGTGTTTGTGTTGGGGTTATAATCCGTATTGTTAATCTACGTGGCGCCTTACCGGATAGAAACATGAGATAAAACAAGGTATGCTGCCCTTGTGGTCCAATCAACTCCCCACCGACAAAAAACACAGCCTTCGGCGAGCAATATTCGTAGGGCTTTGCGAGGGGCGAAGTCGGGGATTCCTACCTCGAAACGAGGGCAGAGGGGTTTCTTAGCCCTTGAAGCCGTGGTCATGTTGTTGCCAACCGCGCGCCGTAGGTAACTACCAGTCAATAGACCTGAGGAGACACAACCCAACTCGCGCAACCGCGGGGGTCGTGCTCCGCATGAAGCCAAGGAGATAAGCCTAGAGACAAGCCAAGGAGACAGCCTAGAGACAAGCGAAGGAGACAAGCCAGGAGACAAGCCAAGGAGACCGCCTAGAGACAAGCCAAGGAGACAAGCCTAGAGACAAGCTTTTTCGCCCCACCCCCCTGTCTGACGAGCTTCCATACCACTGCGACGGTCATACGACAGCCACGCAAGCTGCCACAGATAAAAACACTGGGAAGGTTGCAAACTGCCCGACAAGTTATTGCAAAACACAGACTCGTTCGATATAAGTAATGCCTGGCATTCTCCATTGTTATGATCATTCCGTTGTGCTCAAACTCGTGCTCCGTAATAATGTGCGGCTCTCGGTCAATCTCGCAACTAGATGCCTAACAGAGTTACAGACTAAGTTTGGGAATACGAGAGCGGGCAGATGCGGCCTGTTTTTGTTCGATATTATTAGGCGCTGGTAAGATTCGACAATGTGGAGCTAAGTTTTCGCATACCCTTTGCGCCAACATCACCTTCCACCCGCCTGCCCTATAAGCGAGCGAGATTGATCAATGCCACAAGGACAATAATAAATGCAAAACCTTGGTCTGAGATCCCTTTCCAATCTACTGAAAATGCCATGTCAAGTACGCTGTAGACAAAACCCCGATCAAAAATCGACGGTTGCTTGCCACCCGTCAAGGCGTGAATGATGAATTGAAGGCCTAGTTGGCCCTCGACAATAGACTGCTGGAACATCAACCGTATGTAGGTCAGTCAGCACAACACCCACCACATGTACAGAGCAAGCATACGCACAGCGTGAATTTGGTTAGAACCTATAATCAAATACCTTTGAGCCCCAATCAAGATATACTACAATAATAATCCCCCTAGCTAACACCCAGCCAGGAGGAGTGTCAAATGCCAAGGTAAAAGTAAGTTCTATCCAACCAGCGACCGATGCCATGGTCTTCCTTCCAACCAGCCACATTACGCAGCCTCCTTGGCGGGAATCTCGAACGTCACCGGCTTTCCCAAAACTGGAAGCTCTTCAATTGATTTCGCAGGCGTGAACGGAATCTCTTGAAGGCTGAGTTTGAGGCTGGGGATGGACGAGATGGGAATGCGAGTTCCGTCGGGCTACGCATGTTCACGTTAGTGACAGCAATCACAACACAGATAGCAGCAACACTGCACTCGGCACTCACCTTGGTCACCTCGAGAGTGACGAGATTCGAAATGGAGCTGACAGTCTCGTTCGTGCCGTCCGTCTTGGAAAAGGCCTTGCGCACCAGATCGTCAATCATGAAGCCGCCCTTCAAGATGCCGTTCGCCGGCTGCCGCATGACCGTCACATCGCCCGCCTTGACGCCTTCGATGAACACCGTCACGGTGCTGGGCCGCTCCACGTGGGCGCGGTCGACCTCGAAGTGCGCAAAGTACTGCATCCGCGAGCCCGAGCCATCCTGGCGCCGGGCCGTCCCCTGACTCCCGTCGCCGTACGCTTCGTTGATCAGCGCCGTGGCGGCCCGCTGCAGCTCCTCGCCCGAGGTGTTCCAGTACTGCAGGCGCTTGTACGAGTAGCCCATGCCGTCGATTTTGGCCACGGACCGCGTGGTGTGCATCTGGGTCTGCGTGTCGAAGAAGGGCTGCAGCGGGCTGTCGGGCGTGATGGTGGAGTTCTCGGCGGAGCCCCAGCGCGACTCGCCGTAGTAGTCCTCGGTGAAGATGGCCTGGTCCGGCTTGATGTACTGCCAGTACGTCCATAGGCGGTCGACGTTGGTGTGGTGAAGCATGCTGCGGCACCGACAGAGGTGAGTGACGAACACGGGAAGGAGGGGGGGGGGGGGCGTACGTACAAGAGAGGGTCGAACCCGGACAGATCGGCTTGCCAAAACTGTTCACCGCAGCCAGCGTCGTAGTGAATCCAGTTGTGAATCTGCTCCAGACCGACGCCGTTGTTGGCCGTCATGGAGAACTGGTTGAAGTCTTGGGCATACACAAAGGCAGCGTACTAGAACCGCATACTTAGCGCGAACATTCGTAATCAGACATTGGTTGTGTATGAATGAGGACTCACCAGGTTCCCCTTCAAATTGCGATTGCGGAGGTTAGAGTCGGCCGAGTCCGGATAACTATAGCGAGGACCAGGGCAGCGCAGCGTTTGCGAACGGCCATCAAAGTCGCCATAGCGGCCATTCAAAACGTCCTGCGGTATGTTGAAGGTCTGCAGAGGATTGGTGACGGACTTATTCCGGACGCCGCTACCGCCGGCGACGTTGATTGTCAGGGTGGCCGGAACCGAGGCCGGGGGAACGGCATTGTCGGCGGCCCAGTCCCAGTATGGCGAGCGCAGGCACTTGGCGGCGGCAACGTATCGGTCACGGACGCTGTCAGGGTACTTGGCCGCGATCTTGCAGGCGTGCCGAACCAGCTGCTCCTCGAAGAGCAGCACATAAGGGCGGTGCCATGGCAAGAACAGAGGCTCCTAGGCTCGGGGGTCAGTATTAATAGCCGCTCGCATTCGTCTGCCTCAAGCCTCGACACTTACACCGTGTGGGCAGTAGCCAAGCCATTCCCATCCTTGTCTGGGGCCAGAGTTGTCCCACTCGATAAATGGCTTGCCGTGAATACCTGCATGAAGCCTATCAGCGAACTGGCATGCTGCGACCATGGTTTCTCTATCAGTTTAGTACCGGCGGTTTGGAAGAACGAGAGTTCATCATCATAATCCATATTCTGCATGGCTAGGAGAGCCTGAATGTATAGGTCCCATTGCGGACCTGCAGCAGCCTGCAGGTCATTGACGTTGAGTCGCAGAGGGATATCGTTGGCCGAGGGTACGGCTGCGCCGACGATGAGGTGATGGTCCGCATTGATGACCTTGGCCAAGCAGGCGAGAGTCGCAGCGGCGGAGATTAATAGACGATTGCTGAGCATTGTCAAGACGAATAAATGCAAGTTGCGCTGAGAGGCGTGACCGGTGAGCGTAGATCTGCGGCAGCGAGGGTTGTGAGCCACTTATATGCAGGTCTCACGAGGTTCGATGTCGTTGATACTGATTCATCTCTGGAAGTCGGCAACAACTAGAGGGAAGAGCGAATGCGACTGCGTATGCACAGAGTCTACATCTTATTGGTGAAAGATGGTACGGCACCGGCCGGCTGGGCCGCTAAATGTGAGCCGGCAGACGGAGGGATTGAATTTTTGATTACAATGTGGAATTGGATGCTACGCTTTGGGACGACTGGACGGGCCGTATTCAGGCCAGGAACCCGGTTAACCGACTGACTAGAGTAGCTCGAAGTTGGGAGTTGAGACGAGTTCTCAGACTAGAAGGGTTGTTGGTGGGGGGTTGGGGGGGGGCGTGTTTGCTCGGGAGACGAAGCCGAGACCTGAGGAGAGCAATGACTGATGCAAGGAGCTGGCCGCGATGCAAGTGCAGTTGCGAAGTGCTGGTGACGGCAGCTTGGAATCTGAGTTGTCTTGCTGCTTCGCAGTTGAGCCGTGTATCACCTGATCTTGTTTACATGTGTTTCGCTCCTCGACCCGATGTCTTGGTAGGCGATGGTGGCACTCAGCCCTGGAACGGACGATGTAGATTAGCCCGACAACCAATGCCGAGAGTTCCAGAGTCACCTCGAGAATACCACACTGCTGCAGATTAGCCTGGAGCAATGGATCGCAATGGATCGCAGTGGCACTCGTCTTGGTTAATGCATGGTTGTTGCGTATAGATTGTCCAAGTTGCATCGATTTAAGACCAAGTTCTCACGGATGATCCCCATGCGGCAAGGCTCAGGCTCCTGGCTGCCAGGCTTCAAGCCCAATATCTCCAAAGCCGGCCCAAGTTTCGCGCTGGAGCTAGACATTAGCCAAGTTTGTAGCGTGGCTTGCTGGGGGCAGCCGGCGGCCGACGCTGGTGCGGCCGCTCGTCGACGGTCTCTCGCAGAGGACGGAGGGTAGGAAGCAAGCATGGCTATTTGGTGGCCTGGAGTGTCGACATGAAGCCTTTCCTGGGAGAGAAGAAGACGGCGATGGACAAGGATGTGATGAACCATGGACAAAAAATGACGAACCACGGGGCTGGCATTTCGCCACTCTGGCGTTGTATTGAGCTTGCTATTATTAGCCCGGGTCTCAAGGCGCCATAGCGCGAGGCTACCGAGGGCAGCCGCACATGTAAAATGCAGCCATGTTGGTCGGACAAATAGAAACAAGACAGCTGGAAAAAGAGCGCTTGGTATCTAGAACCTCGAACATTAGCCTCCTTTCACGACCCGGCTAATTCTTTTTTTTTTTTTTTTTTTTTTTTTT